ACATAATAATATAATAATATAATATAATAATAATAACATAATAATATAATAATATAATAATAATAACATAATAATATAATAATATAATAATAATACTTATACAAACATGATTAAATCGTCTAATAAAACTAACAACATTTGGAGCAATTGTAAGTTTATTTTTTTTATTCCATGAACAACTAGATAATTCTTCAGCTCGAATGCATTTGAATATACTTATATCTAGCAATGTTAATTGTGATGCTAGATCTTCAGCTTGAATTTCAATAGCAAGTTTAGCATTTGATACAGGTGAACTAATATTACAATGTGCAGGCAAAGAATTTGATTTATATACCACAGACCTTGAATTTATAAACAAATAAGAAATATGATTTATAAAATATAGTTTTAATACATTAATAAATTATAAGTATTTAAACAAACACATACCCATAATTATCATAACAATTAGATATTGTAGATGGTATCAATTCGGAATACTTCCTATATGTCCTACATTTTTCCATATAATCTTTAGGGTCTTTCACATTTTTATCATTTAAATTTATACTATTAGATAGCAACAATCCACTAAAGGAATTTAAATCTGCTGCATAGGATATATCAGAGCAATTACTGCATCCATACTTAAAATCAAAATATAAAATATTAGATGTTAATATTTTAGTTACAATTAATTAATTTTAATGGCTTCCATACAATATAATAAAAAATACAATAAACAAGTTATACCTCAATCAGATGTGAAGAAGAAACTGACTCAATAGATAAGTCATGTGGCATAGAATTATAATGCAAATCAGCCATTAAGCTTAATCACTCAAATGGCATATCCCATCCCCTATCAAACTTTAATATATTTTTTAATTTCAAATGCTATTATAAACCTATTATTTCTATTAAAAAAAGACTATTTTTTGCAGAGATTATTTAATTTTATATCTTCAAAAAATAAACAGGGTTAAATAATTTTATTTCAATTGTAAAATAAAATTTTCGTTAGGTTTTATTAATTAAATACAATTGCATGTGTATATATGTAACGTATAATTGAATGTCAATGTGACACAGAACGCAACAGCATACACGCATGTATATTTAACAAGCATATATTTAAAACTAACAAAACACAATATAAACTGTTTCCAAACTTAAAAACTTATAAAAATAAATGTAATAAAATGTTGCTGAATATTTATGTTAATAGTTTACCATTAAATATAAGTTTTTCTTGTAAACCAATTGAGAATTACTCTTTTATAATTATGTTAATAGTTTACCATTAAATATAAGTTTTTCTTGTAAACCAATTGAGAATTACTCTTTTAATTTACCAAAGTCTAGAAAAAACGTAAAAGATAGACGATCCATTATGAAATTTGTTTTTATAAACAAATCACTACACAGGTATAAATAAACAATAACTTTATATTACATAAAATTTATATAGCACTGTTCAACTTGGATAGTACGTTTTTTAAGATAAGCACAATCAATGTATAAGCTTATTGGTTCTCGATAATCAGCCTAATATAAATTCAAAATGTAATAAGAAACAAAAATAAAAATTTTTCCAAAAAAAATAATATGGGAATGTTAATAATTTGTCATTTGAAACATTATTTTTCCTAAAAAAAAATATTGTATTTTTGTTTATCTTATTAAAAAATAACATACACTAATTAAAATTTATTACTATCGCTAGTTAATCACAAATGCCAATATTCATCATATTAATATTTGAATAAAAGATAATAATAAAATTAGTAATTATTTTCAGATAATATTTCAATTGAATCAAATATAAAATTGTATATTTAAAAAATAATTATTTAAATATAAAAATTAATGTTTTTAAGTTCATTATAGCTTACGAATGAAAAAATATTTTATAATTTTTTTAATCAAATATCACAAACTATAATGTATTAAACTACTTTATTGTTTAAATTCTCTGTAAAATCAATATTAATTTTCAGTGTTTTGTGAAAATCGATAAACATATACCTTCATTTTCATACTCATCAAATCAAAAAACATTTTTATCTAAGATTTTAAATGTTACTCGATTCTTACGTTTTTAAGTTTTCTTTTGCCCCAAAAGGGCTATTTACGAGTTATAGATACATTACTATGGATTTTTCTATTATTATATATGAAATTTCTCACCAATCATTTTTCTTCAATTTTTTTTTATTTTAAAGACTTCATGTAAAAATATCTTCTTAATTAATTTTTACTAATACAATTACTTTTTTTTAATAAAAATATTTATTGTTATTATAATTATTGTTATTATGTTATTATTTTTTATATGTAATTGTTTTAAACTAAAAATAAAATGATTGATTATAAGTTTATTTGAATTTTGCATTCTAGAGTTTCATTATTGTAAATTAATAATACGAAAATAATGTTAAAATATAAGATTATGGTGACTTATTTTGATAATATAATGCGAATATTTACGAATTAAAAATTGTTTACTGAAAATTAAGAAATAATATTTAAGATTAATTAAAAAAGAAAAAAAATAACTTCTTTATTTTTATCCATAAAACATTATTAGTGAAAATTAAACTGAATATTTTATATAATCGTATACGTATATAAGGATAACGATAAAAATATAATGAATAAAAAAGTTTAAATTTAAATCTAGGCTATATATATATATAATATATAATATGTATAATTTGTACTAAGATTATTCATTAAATGCAAAATATTCATAATGTATTTTTTCAATAAATCATACTTATAAAATTTGTTATAGAAGATCTACTTAATAAAATAATACATATATAAAATTTTATAAAATTTTTGTAAAATATTTTTGTAAAATTAAAAATTTATTTTAGAAAAATGGAATTACATAATAAATTGAATATTTTTATAGATATATTCTTATAACATAATAATTTACTAAATATGTACGATTATGTATTGATTTACAATTTCTATATTTTTTTATAATATATACTAGGATACAATTAAAATTGAATTTTTCTTGCAAATATTAGCTGCAAAAAATGGAAGTTTCATAGGTTCAATTATAAAAAATGTTTGATCATTCATACTATATTATAAAGAATAATGTTAAAAACTCTTGAAACAACTATTTAACAATTTTTTACAATAAATAATTATAAAGCAATTTTATTAAGAGTGCGATTAATATATACATATATATTATATACCAGAAAAATATACCTATATTGAATATTTATTATGCTACTTGCTATGTCGAGGGATGCAATTACGCATGCGCAGTATATAATGAAAACTAAGTTTTTATACAAAATTTTTTTAAAAAATTGCTATAAAAGCTTAGTGAAAATGAATTAGAAAGCACTTATGCAAAAATGCAGAGGAATAAAAATATAACAATTAAAAATTGATGAGCATTATTTTCTTTTTCTATTTAATTAATCAAAGATCATGATTAAATTTTATTTATAAAAGATGAAATTAGAAGTGCATGACTTATAATTTAAAGCATTTCTTTTTTATTTTGCCTATCTATTGCTTAAATTTTATTTTTATGCTTTACATTCAATCACCTAATGCTAATAGTTCTGAATTCCAACTTATCTATACAATTACAAGATTGATTGTTTAAAGAAGCAATTATGATTAAAAATCATCATAGTACAACAAATAATAAAATCAGTGATTTAATATCAAATCAGAATATTGATAAAACAAGAGAAGACCCTTATTTCAAAGGTAGTGATAAAAATTCATTAATTATTATTATAATATTTTTACATTATATTTAGTTTTGTTAAATGTAAAAATAAACGGCCTTTATTTTTCTTGTTCTTATACAAAATTATTTTCTTAATAAATTAAAAATATTAAATTTATTAATCACAATCTTTTAATAAATTATTTAACATATATTCAGATAAACATACGCCTCTTCAAGTAATTGCTCAACAATATGATAGTTCCAATTCTGATGATGAAAATAATACTGAATTCATTAAAGAAGTTTCAAATAAAAATGATTATCGAACGAAACACAATTTGATGCTTACAAGTGATGAATCATCTGATACTGAAAATGATTCAAGTAGTGAATCAGACAATACTTCTAATTGTAGTAACTATATTAAAAGTATTATTAATGATAATTCTGAAAATGAAAATGAAGATATGTAAGGAAAAAATATTAATAATCTTAATATTTATATTTAAGAATATCTAAATTAAAAATAAAATTTTTTTATCTATATGTACATATTGAACAAACAAATTAAATTTAATATTAAATTTATTGTATAAATAAAATTAGAATATCAATATATTAAAACATGTCAATGGTTTTAAATACAAATATAATATAAATTTTTAATATACAGATGTAAAGAAAATAAAGTAAGGAAAGTTTTTAAACCAAAAGGAGAATTTGATGATCTTCCACCAATTGAAGATTTAAAAATTAGTGTACCCGAAGTTCTTTGTGATCCAGTAGGAGAGGTAATTCCAATATAATTAATAAAAATTGCTATTTGTCTAAATTAATTTTTGAATGCTTGTTTTTAGGTTGCTTGGACTGTTGAACAAATGGTTGTCGTTCGTCCTAAGATTGGTAAACCAACACTTAATTTAGATACTATTTTATTTATTGAAAGAGGTCAAAGAGCTCTTGGTCATATCTTTGATGTATTTGGTCAAGTTTCTGAACCATATTACTGTGTAAGGTTTAATAGCGCAGATCATATTTTAAAATGTGATATTAAAATAGGTATGACCGTTTACTATTGCCCAAATACAGAATATACATCACTAGTCTTCTTAAATGAACTTACAAAGTAAGATAGTAATAAAATAAATGTTGAAAATATTTATAATTAAAAATAAGCTTTTATGATATTATATCAATATATCTTTTAAAAATGTACTTAAATTTTATAGTTCATGAAAAAATAATTAAAGATATTAAACAGATAAAAATAATTACAGGATGAAAGCTGTCGATGAAAATGGAGATGAGGAACCTCAGTTTTCAGATGACGAAGAAGAACAAGCTTATTTAGCAAATTTAAAGAAACAATCTAATAATGATAAAATAAAAGAAGGAAATTGTGAAATACCAAAAAAACGCAGACGAGGTAATAAAATTCTTTATTAGATTATTTTTATCTTATATAAATTTTAATATACTAATATTTTTTAACATGATTAAGGTTGTCAATCTAACAATCTGTGGAATAATAATAAGAAACGTGAAGTAAATATTTATTCACAAAATTCAAAATCAAGTTATAGCTCTAAACAACCATGGTCTAAATTAGGGTATCAACAACAAAATCTATGGCATCAATATAATTCATTTCCAAATAATCAATGGATATCTCAAAATTTATCATATAACCAAATACAAGCATTTAATGAATATGAAGATCAAACATTTCTACAACAAATAGATATTCCAAATATAAAGCTAACACAAATGCAATGGAATCGACATTATCAATTGCCACAAATGAATATTGTATCTTTTCAAGGATTTTCACAAACATTAATCCCACCTTTCACTTTATCACCGCCACCGCCACCGCCACCACCACCACCACCGCCACCACCACCACCACCACCACCACCACCACCACCACCACAATCACTACTACCACCATCACCAGCTACACTACTTCCACTAACACTACCACTACAGCTACCATCATCAATGTCAACACCACCACACTAGTACCTTTCAATTTAAATAAATAGTTTAGTTCATATTATTTCATTGATTCTACCAACATAAGTTATTAAAAAATATTGATAATATCTATATACTACATAAATTGTAAAATGTTACATTTATTATTACACAGATATAAATTTTTTCTTATTGATGAGAATTTTTAACTGTTTAAAAATGGGTCTTCTTTATATTTTATCATATTTGATTCATCAAGACATCTTTTAGCTATTTCTATATCATTTTTAATTGCTTTTATCAAATCATCTGTTACAAATGAATGAAATAAATTAAAAATCGTTATTTCGTAAGTATATTATTACTTTATAATTACCAATAGAATTAAAATTTAATTCTGGTCTAATGTATCTCAATACTATAATTTTTAAAATCTTATTATAAAAATCATCTTCAAATTTATGGAGTAAATGTATTTCCTAAAAAAAAAGATATTAAATTTATTTTCTTTTAATATTGAACAAAATAATTGATTATTAACCATTGATTTTTTTTCATTTTTATAAAATGGATTCCAACCAATACTCATAACCATTTTATAAATTTTTCTTTCTAAGCATGCCCAACCAAAATAAATTCCAGTCTCAAATTCAATTGGAAGCGTTTCAACAATTTCTTCAGATAAATTAGCTGCAATTAAATTTAATAATAAATTAATGAATTTAATACATTAATAAAATATTAAATAAATTCATATAAATACCTGTTGGACATCCTAATGATTTAGATCCTCTACAAAAGCCAGATACTACTTTTCCAGATACATAAAAAGGCAAATAATCCTTGGAAGTCATCTGCAATCACTGGATTTAAACTTTATTTTATGTACTTTTTTTCTTATAATTTTGATTATATATATCCCTGTATTACATTTGTTATAAAAATTATTTTCAATCTATGATGCCAAAGTGTTTTCTACAATAATAAAAAATTATTTTAGAAAATTTTATCTACGTATCTCAAAAATATTTTAAGAATTAATACTGGTTACGTGTAAAGTTAATTACAGCAACAAATAAAATATTCTTTCATAGACATATTTAAATGTTTATAAGATGTTACTTTTTATTAAAAAATTATCAAATGAAGCATACATAATATATTCTGATGAAGTAATATCTAATAAATATAATATAGATAATAAAATAAGCATTTAAGTTTTTTACTAATTTAATAATTGCAGTTATTATTGAATAATATAAATACTATACAAAATTAGTATAAAAAATAAAGAAATTTAGTTTGATCCAATTGGTTTTATATTTGATTGTATAGGGTATTATTGTAAATATATATTATAAAATAAAATTAAAATCTGAATAAAAATATAAATAACTACTACTATCTACGATACAATGCTTTATCAAAAATATAAGCAAATTAACACGAATAAAATAAAATGAATGTATCAATTTAATTAATTCGAATAATGTTTAAAGTGTTTTTAGTATATTAATATTTGAAATAATATGAATTGATTTATGAAGAATCATTTAAATACTTACATTCATTGCTAGTTAATATCAATTACATATATTTACAATAGTTATTATTTGTACGAATACATTTTGAAAATAAATATTTAAGATAAAAATTGTATTTTTAATTTATCTGATTATATAAATGGATTTTACAGAAAAATTAATACAGAAATAAATATTTTAATTTTTAATTTGTATTTAAAATTTATACAACCGAACTATTTATCTATTCTTTTATTATATATCTTATTAAAAACAAAAATATTTATTATAACATTCCCTGTTTATTACTAAATGCATTCAATTATTTTATCGAAAATTACATTTTCTTAGTAATGTAGCAATTCACAGCTGATTACGTATGATAGTTAATCACAATATATTTCCTTTATCCTTAGATCTATATAACTAATTTCATAATATACGACGTATCTATAACATAATATTTTAATAATAAATTTTTATAATTCAAATAAGAATGTAAAATATATTTTCTATTTCAATCATTTGATTTTGTACACAACAAACAGTAATAAACAGTAGCAAACTGAAAGATACGAATCAACTATAGATTTATATCAATTAGTTCGACTTCTCAGGATGGTGCAATAATAATAATCATCAAAAATTTTACAAATATTTGATAAAATTTTAATTAAATATTAAAAGCCCGAATAAAATACATTTTAACTTAAAATAAGTAATGAAATTAAATATTGTATTCTCATTTTACAATTTAGAATAAAAATAATTTTATTAAATGTGCATAAATTATCGTTTTTTGAAAACATTCATTGTCATTAGCTTTAGTAAAAAAAATTTATGAAATAAATACAATAATATAATTTTAGACTTAAAAAAAATGTTTGAAAAAAACGTTATAGAAAAATTTAATATGCATGATTAAAATACTATTAATATATTATACTATTTAACTATATACCATTTAATTTAAGTACAATCACAATTTTCAAAAGAAAATATAAAAATCAAAAGAATAAATATTGTAATAATATGAAATTAAATTACAAAAGTATTAATTGTGATTTTTTAAAATATTTTAACCTATATTTTATTTTTTATTTAAAGTATAAATCTAGTAATGAAAAAAAAGTAAATAAAATAAATGATATAAATAATCATATAATTTGACAAACCAAAAAAGTAAAACAATAAGATAGGAAAGCTGCTTAAATAATATTACTAAAAATATAAATAAATATTGGATTAGATAATATAAAGATAAATATTAGATAATATAAATATTATGCAGAAGTTTTATTACCAGAATAAGAATATAAATTATTTTGAACTTATAAAAATAACAGTATAATTTAAATTGAAAATTAAGTATACTGATATATTTACGTCAAATAGTATTTTATTAATTTGAGAATAATTATATATTAAGTACTTTAATATATCACCAAATATGTAATTATTTGAAAACTAACTATTATTTAAAACGTATAAATTTAAGATATAGAAATGGTTTATAGACATATTTAAAAATATATATTCATTATAATAAATTATGTATATATATATATATATATATATATATATATATATTTATTTATTAACTATACTGTAATGTACAATCTAAGTTATTATAGTAATTGCATTTCTTGTTTGGAGTACAAAATATACATTTTTTTGACTGAATAAAAACAAGCAAAATGTTTCATTAAAGACAAAAATCTAGTAAAATTATTTGTGAAGATAATATTCAATATAAATTGTTTTTTTTATCACGTAAAACTATTAATAATATATTTCTGTATATTATATTATTAAAAAACTCAAATGCCTATTGCCTGAGATCAGACTAAAAACGCTTCCTTGAGATGGTGAAGGGAGGCTTGCTGGCAAATGGAATGGACAATGCAATAATTCAATACTGCCTTTATACAAGTTGATTTTTCCTTTCATTGAATATAATAAATAATGAATAGTTAATATCTATGAATATCGAATAAGTGTATGATAGAATAAATAAGTGAGAATTTCTTCAGGTAATATGAGTGATGATAATCTTATAAGGGTATTCTTGTGGTATAGTGCGTGATTGACGCCACCTATTGCCGCCACTGATACACTGGAGAGACCTGGGTGGTGGCGTTGGTATGTAACGTCAATGGTAAGAAGAATTGATGCCGCCGTTGCCGCTACCGATGAGCTGGAGAAGCCTGAGTAGGGCGCTGGTGTATGACGTCACTGATGAATGGCAATCATGCCTTGGCTTTGGTATTGCTGCTTACTTAGTTCACGGAGTCGTGTTTTAATGATTCGTAAGAACGTGTGTAATAGCGTAGCTTACGTGTATGGAGTCGATTTCAGTTGTATTGATGGTACGTAAGGACATGTGTAATAGCGTAGCTTACGTGTGTCGAGTCGATTTTAGTTGTATTGAATGTGACCTCTATATAAGTAGTATTTGACTTGTAAGAAAACGATTGTGTGAATTTAAGTCGATCTCTGTATAAATGGCGTTAACTTGTAGAACAATAATTTGATTTTGATGATTGCTTGATGGAACTAGTAAGAGGATGAGATCGTCATGTGCAGCTCCTTAAATATTCTTGTATAAACAAGCTGCGTTGAAATTGCATAGGTGATCGTTGCTATGCCGATATTTGTCGTGACGTAAAAAGGGCATAGCCTCGTAGAGTTCATTTGTTATTACTTTTGAAATTATAGTAGTATATTCGAGTTTTTCTGTTATATTATTCTTTGAATTCGTTAGTCAGTCTTTACAAAACAAATGCTCACGCGCTAATACCTCTCCCACTTTTTATTTTGCTTAGAAATTACTAAATCATAAATTTATTGATGATTGATATCTGTATGTTCGATGGGAACTGGCAATGGAGCAAGAATATGAATTGGTCTTGAAATTATTGAAGTGGTTTTTAGTGTCACTACTCTAGTTAATCCATCCTTTCAAGGGTGCAGTTTTATGACAATAGCTAGCGGCCACTTGCATTGTGGTTGGCGTTGATCTGTGATAAGAACTAGTGATCCAACTTTGATCGTGTTGCTTGAGTGATGCCACTTAGAGGTTGAGAGGAATTGCTGTAGGTAATGTTTTTTCCATTGCTTCCAGAATCGTTGAACTCGTTGTTGTATGAATTGCCACCTTGACATTATTGATGCGTTATGATCACTTGTGGATGGGTAAAAAATTGTGTTGAGGGGTTCTCCTATGAGGAAATGACCTGGAGTAAGTGCAGAGCGGTAATTGGGGTCGACCGTCAATGGGTGTATTGGGCGTGAGTTTAGGATGGCCTCTATTTGGGTTAGTAGTGTGTTGATTTCTTCAATTGTGAATGATGTTTCTCTTGTTGTTCGACTGCTATGGAACTTGATTGATTTCACTGCGGCTTCCCATTTTCGTCCCATGTGGGGTGCTGCAGGTGGGTTAAATTCTCACTGCGCGTGGTGTGATTCGCGCATTCATGAGTGTGGTTGTAATGTGGTGGTGTTCCTTCGTGTGTTGAATGAAAAGTTTTTTCAATTCCTTGTCAGCTCCGATGAATGTCGTTCCGCAGTCAGAGTACATGACCTGTTGGATGCCCCTGCGACTTGTAAATCTTCTGTAAGCTGCAATGAATCCCTTTGCCGAATAATCACCACCACTTCAATGTGTATTGCGGAGGTTGCGAGGCACACAAATACGGAAATCCAGGCCTTGTAAGATTTTGCTCCTCTACCCTACCAAGTTTTTATGATAATGGGACCAGCGTAATCTACTCCAGTGTGAGTGAACGGTCGGGATGGCGTTACTCTTGAGGCTGGTAATTGTCCCATTAGTTGACTGACAAGGACTCCTCTTTGTTTAGCACAAGTAACGCATCGAAGGATGTATGATTTTACCGCTGATCTTCCTCCTATGATCCAGTAATGTTGTCGGGTGTATGACAGTGTAATTTGCGTGCCTCGATGAAGTGTTCTACGCTGTTCTTGTTCGATTATGAGGTTCGTGAGTTGTGACTGTTTCGGGAGAATGGCTGGAAGTTTTCTGTTTTCTGATATTGCCGCATTAGTTAGTCGTCCACCAACTCTTATGATTCCGTGTGTGTCTATGTAGGAGGTGAGTCGATGGAATGCGTGTGATCGGGTCAGGCCTGTTGTTTGCATCGTTTGTAATACTTGGGCTAGGTGTGCCTTTTGGGTTAGTTATCCATTGTGTTCTGGCCTGATTTAATTCATCGCGTGAGTTGGTTTGTAGGAGGACGTTTTCCTTTTAGGCATGCGATGAATCTGATACATGTTGCGGTTATTCTTAGTAGCTCAGTCAATGTTGGGTACTTATAAACAATGTCCCAGTCGTATTCCGACGTTTTGATAGTGGCGATTAATGAGATGCTTGGACGGACTTCCTGGTCGCATTGGTCTTCTTTGTCAATGGGTTGTGTTGGCCACGAATTTGGAGTTGGTGTCCATGTGGGACCAGTCCACCATAAAGGGTGTGTTTTTAGTTGTTTAGTGAGTCCTCTAGATGCACAATCGGCTGGATTTGAAGTTCCGGGCACATACCTCCATTGTGCTTCTGCTGTGAGTTCTTGAATTTGTGTGACTCTGTTGCACACAAATTCCTTCCATCGTGATGGGTGAGCCTTGATCCAGGTCAGGTTTACTCGTGAGTCCGTCCATAGATGTGTTGCTCTTATCTATAGATTTAGTGAAGTTTTGATGCGTGTGGTGAGCCTTGATAGTAGTAATGCGGCAGTTAATTCTAACTTAAGTATTGTTCATTTCTTGAGTGGTGCTACCTTTGTTTTTGAGCATATGAATGTTACTGTAGGTTTATTGTCTTCATTGTATATTGCCATATATATGACGGCAGCCATTGCTAGTTTCGAGGCGTCAGCGAATCCATTTAGTTCTATATTTGATGTTTCCTTTTTTTTGAACCACCGAGGTATGGTTAATTCGTTTAGTGTTTGTAATTCTCTTCTGATGGTGTGCTATCGACTGACAAATTGATCTGGGAGCGGATCATCCCATCCAACAGAATGGAGCCATAGTTCTTGGAGTAGTAATTTTGCTCGTATTATTACGGGAGATGCGAATCCCAATGGGTCAAACAATTTTGCAATGTCAGAGAGAATGGTGCGCTTTGATGAGGTGGTTGCTTTGAGAGTCAATGATTTTGAGAATGAGAAGATGTCTTCGTGGGGTCTCCATTGTAGTCCTAGAATTTTGGTGGTATCTTCGGTCAAGTTGACAGACTGTTCCGGATTCGGCGATGCCTGAATGACGGTTATTATTTCTTCGTTGGTGGAATGCCATTTTGCTAATGCGAATCCGCCCGCCATGCAGAGGTACCTTAATTGTGTTGTTGTTTCCACTAGTTGACTAGGATTGTCTGAACCGCCAAAGATGTCGTCCACGTATTTTCCGTATTTGATGCGGGGTAGAGCGAGTGGATAGTTGTCTTCTTCGTCTTGGATGAGTTGAAGGAGTGTTCGTACAGCTAGAAATGGGGCCGCTCTGGTTCCATATGTGACAGTGATTAATTGATAGATGACTTCGTTGCCCTGTTCGTCTATCCACAGGATTCGCTGTAGATCCCAGTCGTCTTGGTGGACCAGTATCTGTCGGTACATCTTTGTGATGTCTGTAGACAATAAGTACCTGTGTTTGCGGATCCAAATTAATACATCTACAATGTCTGGATTTAGGTTTGCGCCGATGTGCATTATGTCATTTAATGATTGTCCAGTTGAGGATGGGCTTGATCCGTTGAAGACGACTCTTAACTTAGTCGTAGAACTGTCTGGTTTTAGTACGCCATAGTGCGGCAGGTAGTACGCCCTCTTGTTGGAATGGTAGTTTGCTGGTAGTCTTCGCATATGATTCATGTTCTCGTATTCTGTCATGAATTGAACATATAGTGTGCGATAATTATTGTCTCTTGTGAATCGTTTTTGTAGGCGCACCAGACATTGATGGGCCACGTTGTATGAGTCTCCAAGTATTTCAGGGGATTCTGTGAAGGGGAGTTTGACCTTGTACCTTCCAGTGCTTACTCGTGTTTGGTTTGCGATATAATATTGTTCACACTGCTGTTGATCTGGATTGAGTTGGCTGCTTGGTTCCCTTGGTATTTCTTCTATTATCTAAAATCGCAATAGTAGGTTTTGCAGGCTGTTTTGCAGTTCTTCCGTGGTTATGGTCATTGATGTGGCAGTGTGAGTGTAATTACCGGCTGGTCCAATAACCACCCAGTCGAATATTGACAGTAGTGCTATAGGTAAGTGTGGTGAGGACTTGTATTTCATTACTTGTCCATATGAATCTGCTCCCAATACGATGTCTACAGGTCTGGCCTTGGCGTAATTTTCATCGGCTAATGGCAATCCCTGGATGTGAGGCCATGTGCATTGTGTGAGGTCATGGGGAGGTAGAAGTATGGATAGGGATTTGAGTATGTGAGCATGTACAATAATTGATTCCTTTGACCGCAATGATTGTATAGTGAGTGTGATGATCCCTAGTGGTTGTATTGGTGAAGTACTGCCGATTCCGTGTACAAGTATTTTTGACATTCTGGGTGTCACATGAAGATGTCGTACCAATCTTTCCGTAATGAGTGTGATTTCGGAACCAGTGTCTATGAGCAGCCGGGCTTGTTGTGTTGTTGATTGTATGATCATCTTGGCTACAGCAGTGGCTAATAATATGATTGGTTGTTGGCGCTCGATTGCACTGGTTTGTGGTTTGTCTAGTTATGTGGTGTGTAGTGATGAACGTTGGTTGATGTAATGTCTGGTACTTCATGTAGTAATGAGTGGTGTGCCTCGTGGCATATGTAACATCGTTTTTTGCTTGTGCATGGCTTTGGCAGATGATTTCCCAGACAATTATGGCATCGCCCTTTTGCTTTAATTGTGTCCAGTCTGTGAGAGGGAGGGAGCTGCTTGAATTTGCTGCATGTCCAATTGTGCTGTTCCTTGCAGTAGAAGCATTCTAGGATTAAGTCTGCCCTGATAGTTGAACTTAATGAATCGTGCGTGGAGGATGATTGGCACATTCTTACGAATATTTTTTTTTGGTTTATGATGCTAATCTTGTTTTGTTTGCGATTGGATTCCTTGTGTGTTTGTCATTGTCACGTTTTCTAGTGCTTCCAGTCTTGTCATTACAAATTGATCAAATTTTTCGAACATTGGATATGAATTGTCTTCTAGTGTTTTGTCTTCTAGTGACACTGGTCAGCTAATTACTATGGATTTGTGATCCATTATGAAGTTGTTGTGTGTCTCGTCGATTTTGTTTTTTACTGCTAATATCTCGGGCAGGCTTATAGTAGCTCTGTCTGCATTAAGGCTGTCAGTCAGTATTCGCATCGTCTCGATGCGGGCCCATTGTGATTGGGCAGTCATGATTTGTTTACCAGTCAATTTTTCCTTGTTCGCGCTGCGCGTGGTGACACTTACTGACTCCTTAATTTCCTTTTTGTCTTATGTAGACATGTTGATATGATGAAGCGGTAGTGTTTACTTACGGTAGTGAGGAATCTCTCTCGTAGTCAATAATCTGTGTACAGTACTATTATCCTTATGACTGGTAGTAATGTATGCACTGATTTCCACTTACCCGGCTCGAAGGACCAAAATGTCTGAGATCAGACTAAAAACGCTTCCCTGAGATGGTGAAGGGAGGCTTGCTGGCAAGTGAAATGGACAATGTAATAATTCATTACTGCCTTTATACGAGTTGATTTTTCCTTTTATTGAATATAATAAATAATGAATAGTTAATATCTATGAATATCGAATAAGTGTATGATAGAATAAATAAGTGAGAGTTTCTACAGGTAATATGAGTGATGATAATCTTATAAGTGTATTCTTGTGGTATGGTACGTGATTGACGCCACCAATCGCCGTTACCGATACACTGGAGAGACCTGAGTGGTGGCGTTGGTATGTAACGTCACTGGTAAGAAGAATTGATGTCGCCGTTGCCGTTACCGATGAGCTGGAGAGGCTTGAGTGGGGCGCTGGTGTATGACGTCACTGATGAATCGCAATGATGCCTTGGTTTTGGTGTTGCTGCTTACTTAGTTCACGGAGTCGTGTTTTAATGATTCGTAAGAACGTGTGTAATAGCATAGCTTACGTGTGTGGAGTCGATTTCAGTTGTATTGATGGTACGTAAGGACGTGTGTAATAGCGTAGCTTACGTGTGTGGAGTCGATTTTAGTTGTATGGAATGTGACCTCTATATAAGTAGTATTTGACTTATAAGAAAACGATTGTGTGAATTTAAGTTGATCTCTGTGTAAATGGCGTTAACTTGTAGAACAATAATTTGATTTTGATGATTGCTTGATGGAACTAGTAAGAGGATGAGACCGTCATGTGCAGCTCCTTAAATATTCTTTTATAAACAAGCTGCGTTGAAATTGTATAGGTGATCGTTGCTATGCCGATATTTGTCGTGACGTAAAAAGGGCATAGCCTCATAGAGTTCATTTGTTATTACTTTTGAAATTATAGTAGTATATTCGAGTTTTTCTGTTATATTATTCTTTGAATTCGTTAGTCAGTTTTTACAAAAAAAATGCTCGCGCGCTCATACCTCTCCCACTTTTTATTTTGCTTAGAAATTACTGCAATCCGTAACACCTATATTAAAAGAATTATTACAAAATTTATACTTCGCGCATATAGTAAACCAATCAACTGAAATATATAAAGTACGTTGGACAAGTTAGTATTTTGTTCTACCAAAATCAGTATATGTAATAAATAACAACGAAAATAAAAAATAATATTATTGAAAATTTTACATCTGCTAATATAGAAGTCAATTAATATGTTATAAAATAGGCTAATGAAACAAACGTAATTACAACTTGAGTGAGAGGATGTGCATTATGTACAAATGACGACTATGACCGTCATAAATAAGATTTTCTAAATATCTTGAAACAAAATGAACTAACCACTATAATAGACTATTGACTTTGATTTTCCTGCAAATAGAAAAAAAGAATTAATGAAGTAAAAGCCATACACATTGTATTTTCAATTATACATTTATGACAAACTTATTTTGAATTGTGTGTTTATTTAATACGGTCTGTAAATTCGGCGCAGAGTGGAAACAATAAGTTTTGGTCACGATTGTCACAAATACTGATTCGGTTAAATTAACAAAAATCACAAAAAAACGGACAACATAAGTGTCCATTCCGTTGAGTATCGTCTGGTACAATAGTAATAATATGTTATTATATTGAAAATAACTGAAATTGACCATAGACGTTTTTTAAAATAAAATACGAAAATATACAAAAGAGAATTGCAAGATAAAACAAATGCAAGAGCATCGGAATAATATTTTAAGTAACTACAACGAACAATAACACCCACTAAAAAAATACAAGACGACGAAGTATCTCTTGTATTTGTAGGTACGCGCGTGCTACTTTTCAACCGTGCTGCAAATATTTGGAGCCAAGTCGAAGGGTTTTGTTATGAAGTGACCCGAACTCAATGCCTCTTATCATTCATCCCTATCAAATATTCTGAACACGAGGTGAGTAGGTATTAAATATAGGGTTCGTGCCTATTAAATTCTTTTCAATCTTTTTCAATATTTCGATAATTTTTTTAAATTTCTGTAAACGTTTCTTATATTATTGTAAGTGGATTATTGTACATTTTGAGTAAATATATATATTATTTAAATTTAATTACAATATACCTTAAGTATGCGCACATATGTGTATATTTCTAGGCAAAGAAGTGGATAGATATACGTATGCGTATATAGAAATGATAAATTAATTTTATTTTAACTTCATATTATATATGTAACAATAAACATTAAAATACTATTAATGTAATTAGTATTTTGTACAAGTATTTTTTCACGTATTTATCTTAGATTTGTCGATACCTACACTAAATAGTATTTTTATTAATCAAATATCACATTAGAATTGTTTGAAAATTGTTTGAAATTATAAATTTGTTAACAGTAATACTAAATTCTATAAACTCTTTCCTTTTAATTTTGCTTTTTCTACTCGTCACATGCTCAACACGATACTTCATATATTTTTATTTAAAACATTTGCTTTATATGTAATAATTAAATATTTAATTCAATTAAGATATAATATCACGCATGTGTTTCTTGTGAATGCACGCAATCCCACGCGTTATTTATTATGGTTGCCTGTGGATATAATTATCATTAAACTAAAAAATTATCATTATATTCACTAAATGCTGATAGTCATTAATTCAAAAGAACTCTATTTTTAAAAATAATATTGTTTTTAGAAATCTGAATTTTTTAAAATTACAATTAAATATAATTATATTCGTTTAAATTATTACTTTCTTTTTTAAATTTATTTATCTTTATTATATTTTTCTGAATTTATATTTATCAAAGACATTTCTACTATTATATAATTGTATGTCGAGATTTATGAATCAATTGTTTTCGATAATTTAGTTTTTATGCAATTTTCTTTAATTAAATTTCAAATATTATATATAAAATTTATAAAAATGATGCTATGAGTAAAACATAAAAATATTTTAATACGCTTCTTTTGATTTATAATTCAAATAATATATAAACTTAATTTAACTCCATAGAAGTAACTTGAAATTACATTTCTTTTTATTCTGATACCCTAACAAAGATTAAAAAAGACTTACTAGTTTTAAAAGCATGTGTCTTTTGTTTTCATCGTTTACATAATAGTAATAAAATCCAAATACTTAATTATAAAGCAAAACCTTACAATGTGATTCTAGGAAGGTTTAATTTAATATTGTAAAATAAACAGTTAATTACATTGGAATAAATTTGCAACCTTCTATGAAGTAAAAAACTATCATCAATCATGCAAAGTACACATAATTTTTCGAAAAGGAAACCCTAAAAAGAATGGAAGTTACTCTGCCAGAAGTAAGGTAAAGAGTCATCAAGAACTTTGTCAAAGTACACGTGTACCTTGAGTTTATCCTGATCCTTTCATTATATCCTAACACGTACTCTTTTATTAAATTATTGCTACATAAAGGAGATCGTGTACTAGTATAACATATTTTTATCAATATATTCTCACACTATTTCAGATAAGTAAAAAAATTGATTATGTACGTCGAAAACGTGACCAATAATGACGTGCTTTGACCCGTGCCCACTATCGAATCACAAAAAAATTATTCTTAAACCGGAATGTATCGCGCCAATCAAACTGACTAAATTACTTTAACACTGAATTTTCAATGAATTTGATTTTTGTTATTGATTCTACTTGTTCTTATAGGTTGCTAGGTGTGAAATAAGAAAATTATGGTATGCATGTACGTATATTTTTCATTTTAAATTAATCGTGTTAATACGAATAAATTAGATACAGTATATTTGGAATTCATTTTTAAATTTAATAATTAATTCGGTAAATATTTGATCAAATAAATATTTGGCGTTTAGAATTTTAAATAATAAATAGTGCATAAAAATATAGTAAATTGTAATAAAATAATAATCAAGAATTAATATATATTAAAATTACACTTTGAAATTTTTTATGAAATTTTGCTTCGAATTATTATAAATGTTCTAATTTTAAATAGAGAGATACATATTAAAATAAATTAACAAAATTTAAAAAAAGAGATAGACTACAATACAATTAAATGAATCTATAAATATAAGATATAATTTATATTCCAGATTAGATTTAAAATGAATTGATTAAAGTAAATTTTCTCTTTAATACATTCCATTATCCACTCATTTTCTTCACTTTATCATATATTAACATTTTATTTTGAATTATAATTTATAATAAAATAGATACAAAAACAAATACATTTAAATTATTGAACTATATTATTGACATATCCACAATAATAAACCAATGATATTAAGAATTCAGCAAATGATTATACATTTTTTCATTTTTAAAATTATATCTTGTATAGAAGATTCTATTTAAGGCATAGTCCCGAATTATTAAAAAAAATACATCGTTCCAAAGTTTGGGAACGTAAAAAGAACATTATTTTGCGATTCAAAAAAACATTTGCATTATAATTTTTATATTATTCTTTTTATCGCTTGATAAAAATTATTTTTAAATAATCGTGCTTATTTACGTGGTTAATACTTTTTTTACAAAGGCAATTATTAATTTAAAACTATTAAACCATAAAATTTACATTTAATTTTAGGATGACGTAACTGGTCTTATCGTATGAAATGTATGCGTTTCTAATATTTCATTTTGCTGCAAACTGTACTGCAGATTGATATAAAATTATCTATATAGTGAATATAGTCAATTATAAAGTCAGATTATATTTTAGAATTATAAATTATAATTCTCAGTTATTTCTTATTTTATTCGGTAGCCAGTGAATATCATATTTGTGTATACCACTTTACTTGCCACTTTATTATGAAAGTTAAAATACTGCTAAATAAACAATATATTTTAATTACTATTTTTTTACAGGGAGAAATATATTTTCAAACATTAAATTCAACAGTAAACTAAAGAATCATAGCTTAGATATATTCCTCTGCATAATTATTTCATTACATTAAAAACAATTTTTAAGAAAATATTTTCGGTGAAATGAAAATAATTATTTATTAAAGTCTTATTTCATATACTGCCATGCTAAATCTTATCGATTTAAATTTGTAAAATATGTTAAACAAAAATTTATTATAAACTTCACTTAACTATGGTTATATAAATTAATATTTTGTAAATACATGCATTTACTTTCTATTATTTTATAAATATTTATTAAATACACATTTTTGCTCAGGAATTAAAATTTAGAAAATTATTATCATTGCTATTGAATTCAATAAACTGTTCGTTAAAGACTATAAATAATTAAACGTACAATTTAGTAAGTAAATTTGTAAAGTTTTAATAATACAGCTATTATTAAAATTAATTACGTTTTTTACTTTAAAATAACCGAATATTACTCATAATATAAACTTCATAAAATAATTTGCTAGTACACTCTTTGTAAATCGAATTTAAAAATCAAATATTACATTTAATTATCAAAATTACTCAAATTTATTTTTGTAATTTTATTAGACAACAGAGTTTAATATAAGTTTACAATGAAATTTGACATAAAGTATAGAATCCATATTTAGAATATGTAATTCTGAAATTGGTGTTATAATATAAATTAATTTCATAACTTTAATTGAATAAAGTAATAAATATTTTATAAATATATGTTAACTATCAATGATTAGTTTATTAAATATAACATTTAATATGAATATGTATCAAAATGTAACTATTGTAGTTAGACAGCTTAGATTACATTTAGATATAAATAATAATATACATAAATTATACTTATTCACACAAACAAATATTGTATTTGAACGAAATATCTCTTTTTGAGTAATAAATTTTACTGTTACTTTGAAAGACAGTTTAAGAAAATTGTTTATAAAATTCATTTTCCTTTCAAATATAAAATTGTATCACTTTTAATTTGTAATTTTTATTCTATACATGGCAATTAGACAAATATATGTGATATATTTCCTTATTAAGTTTCTTCAAACGAGTTGACAGATGTAAACATATTTGGCCAACTTTTCCTAGAATTTGTTAATTTAATTATCAATTTCTTAATTGTAACAGCTTGATCGAATAAATGTCATGATACAAGCTTTATGATGATCAATAATAAGCAATTAAAATATATATTAGTTTCATTGAATTGACTTTTGATCTTATGAATTTTATAGAATTTATTTATTTTATAAACTCGTATGTTATCGTCAATTTCTTTCTCGATATATTTTGTCTGGTCTATTTTTTTATAAATACCTATATTTTCTGTAGACTTCAAAATCATTTAAAGAATAATATAGTTTGATACTTATATTAAAGTTTTATAAAGACTTGTAAAATATAAACTATTTCAACGATTATACTTGATTTTTTATATTACATATAAATTTTTGAGAAAATTCATTATTATGAAGTAAGTTATTTTTTATATGGCCAACTAAAATAAATAGTCTTTACATAATCGAAAAATAAATATTATTAAATGTCTTTACATTACCATACTCGTTTATGAACTACAACAAATAAAGCAATACTAACATTAATATTAATAGTTACTCAATTTTTTACTTATTTATTACTAAGAAATTTTAATTTTTCTTGCTAAATCCTGCAAAATTAAAGAATCTTATATTTCTTTAATTCTATAATCCATAAAAATTTATGTTGATATGGTTTTCATATATAAACTATTACAGAAAAATTTATAGTTCTTAAATAACTACAGACATATAATTATTTACACAAATAGTTTTAATTAGTTGTCTTCTATATATGTTATTACAAAAAAATCTCTAAAATTTTTTTTGTAATGTACTCAGATATTTTTCTATGATTATATAAAGGAAATTTAATATTTTTAAAAACTACGAATAAAAATAATTTATTTCGTATAATTTAAAAAGAAAATTTGATATTATTTTATGAAAATTATATAGAAAGCAATTAATTTTCTAGAAAAATTTAATTTATAAATTATTTATGTATAGCTAAATGTATAATTGAAAATCTGATATAATTCATTATTTACAATCATTTTTATTTATATACTAAATAATATTATTATACTATATTATTTTAAATTATTTAAATTATTTTGAAATTATAGCAAGCATCATTTTTAAAATTGTTGGCATGAACCATTAACTCCCAATTTTTTTACGGACGGATAAAATAAAAATAAAAATGGTTTCTTCCATTTCTACAAACGGAGACTCTGAGGGTCTGAAAAGTTCTATCTTGGAACTCCAAGATGAACATCATTCCCGTTCAATCTTGTCATCGCTCAATATGATGAGGAAGAATAAGTACTTCTGCGATGTCATATTACACGTAAGTTCTTACTTATAATTATGTGTACTGTTACATAAGATATAATTTAATATAGCAATCGATTGTTTTATTTTAATATCAATAAAGTTTATTATATTATTATTTTAGTTTTAATATTGAAATTTTAATATTTTATCTTTAAAATAATAACTTACAGTATTTAAATTTTTATTACTATATTATATTATTGTAAATAATATAAAATATAGTATGTTATATTTATTAAATAGCCTAAATATAGTGACAATTTATTATGTTATTCTAAACTACTTATATATTTTTGATATTTTATTATCGATTTCGAATTGTAGGCTGGAAATATGGAGGTACATGGTCACCGAGCTGTACTAGCAGCAGCATCTCCATACCTTTTCGAACTATTTAGCGTCGATAATCAAGGAAATAAAGAACAAACAATTACTTACAAACTGAGTGATGATATTGATAAAAAGGCCCTACAAAAGCTCATTGATTACGCGTACACTTCGAGGTAATTTAAAAAATAATTACATGAAATAATCGCAATGTAAGAAATAATGAAATGTACTGTTAATTTTAAACATTGATTGTTATTGTTTGAATATATGTATAAATATATTGAATATATTTAGTACTTTATTACTTAAAATATGTATTAAATAAATATAATTTTATCTATTCTCTATTTTCTATGAATGAAAATTTATAAAATAAATAATATTAACAAAAATTTATAGAATAAATAATAATAAATAATATTTCCAAAAAACAGAAAAAAATAAGTTATAAATACAACTAATTTAATTTACTGATTATTATTATTATATTCATAATACTGATTCCAAAAAATAAAAAATCTTACTAAAAATTCAATTAAGAGAAAAATAAATTTTATATTTTATAATATTATTTTATAATATTCATTATTAATTTTGAATAACCAAGCAAAATTCAATTATATATAAGTTTAACATAAATGTATTTTTTATAAAATAGATATAGCGAAGTGATTAAATGTTTTTTTATAATTAATAAATTTTATAGAAAATTTATATAATAAAAAATAAATTAATAGAAAGTTAATTTTCATGAAAAAAAATTAATTCATTTTAAACTTTTAGAAATTTTGAATAAGTAAGTATTTAATAGATTAAAATAAATGAAACATTCATGATAATATGTGGATGTGTATAAATATGTAGAAAAATACGAGAAAAAGTATAAAAATTAAAGACAAAATTAAAACATTTTTTTAATTAATAGTGTCAAATAAAATATTTACATGGTACTTTTTTTGAATATCCATGTTTCATTTATTACAAATTTTTATATTTTCTTAAACTTTATTTTTTTTTACTAGGGGCTTTTCCCTGATCCGCGTGTAAACATTATAAATGTCTACAGGCTGGAGATAATGCCTACCGAGGTGAAATCAATCTATTTGGTTGCATTTTACTTGAGGATGGATCGAATTGCATTGCAGTGTATGGCTCATTTGTTGGAATCACTAACTCCGGACTCTTGTCTCGACATCCGTTCCATGCCCGGCATCGTACAAAACGAGAATTTTGTTAAACAAGTTGATGCTTATATTAGGTATAATGTAAGTAGCCGCAACTCAACGATCAAGTTAATTATTATATTTACGCAACGTCAAATACCATTTATTAGATGAAGATGATTCGTTTCACGGGGCAGGTCTTACCTTTGAGAATTCTTAAAAAATAAGAATACATTTTTAATGTTGCAGAAACATATAGATATGTTTTTATTATTTATTTTATTTCAATTGAATTTTAAATGAAATTATCATAAGACTAAGAACAAGAAAGCCAAGCAAGTTTTGATCGTTAATTTAAAAAAAATAAAATTATTTAATTAAAGTACTAATTTATTTACTTGATATTTTCAATACATTTTATTAGTAAATATTAGTAAATTGGTTTTATACTTTTATATAAACTGTATTATAAAAAATATTGCACAAATAATCATTATATTAAAACAATAAAAGAAACAATGGAATCATGTAACATAATGTAACACAATGTTTACATAAGATTTCATGGAAAATATAAAATAAAATTCATTAAAAAATATGGAAACTGCTATAATTTTTACATTAATATTTTTATTTTATTTTATTTAATAACTCATTACCCTATCACATTTTCGTATTTTTGTAAATTCATACATGTATGTATGTGTCTATGGGTATATGTGCACATGCAAGTAAATATTATATAAAAAAATCCATAAAATTCAAAGAAATATATAAAAATTAAATACAAATATTTGTGAAATTAAAAAAAAAGTACTTTTATGAAAAAAACAAAAGTTACATTATTATGCATATTCACAAATAATACTCTTTGAAATTTTGCAAAACTTTAGAATTTAAAGATTTATTTAAAGAAATATTTTTTATATATTAATTATTCAATTGATTTTAATTCAATTTTACATAATATAAATTAATATAATATATTATTTGCGTAATTTGTTGATTTTTCAATTGTACTCTTTAATTAAATTTTTGAAAAATTAAGATTGTGTTATTATAATTTAATTATTGTACAAATCTAAGGATTATATAATTTATAAATATATACTTTCATATTTATTAATTGCAAATCACCACAAAATACTTTTATTTTAAAGAAAGTATGTTTCTGCAACATTAAAATAATTTCTTGTAAGAATATCCATTGGTTCTCGTAACCAAGTTGCGAGTGCCTCCAGTATGTATTATGAAAACGAGTTCGCGTGACTCTAAAAATACTGCGATCATGAAGGGAAGCTTTTACACCCATGAGAGTCTCTTGACCGCCCTTCGCTCTGCCCCCACGACAGTTCGCAGCGATCTGCGGAAGTCCCGCCTTGTCCTTCCTGCCGAGTGTCAAGATTGAGGTGCTGTACCAAACTAGCCAGGAAATGAGTCTTGTGAATGGTTCGAGTCTTTGCTGCCTTGTGCTTGATTGGATGAAGCGGTTCCTTGATGATCAGGACAATGCAGGCATTGAACAACTCATCGAGAAGACCTACCTTCTATACCTTGCCCTGGACAACAGTCTCCAAGACTGCACGGATCTGCCTTCTGGTGACGTCAGCAATACGGACATTGTCCAGGATTATAAAAAGATGTCTCTTAAGTCGCAGGCTCAGAACAAAAATAGAAGAAAGGGTGTCTTACATCCAGCCAAGCCTAGAGTACTTATTTATAACAAAAATATTGAGGACTCCATAGAAGAACCACTCGAGCCTGATTGGAACATGATTGGCATTAATAAAGTAGGAGGTAGATGATGCTAAAATTTGTAAATTTTTCTTTATCTGAAACAACAAAAATTTAAAAAATATAGAATATTTGATTTTTTTATAAATGGAATTAGTTTTTGTTTACATTCAAAACTAAATCATTTAATGATACAAAAAAATATATTAATTTATTGATAATAGAATTTTACTTTACACAAAGATTAATATTCCTATAAACATGCACTTCTATTATGGTTAATATTTATGTAAAAATAATATACTTTATACAATTAATCAATTAAACATCTTCAATTATTTAATATCAATAAAATAATAAATATAAACAAAATATTTAAAAAATTTTAAATTATTAAATTGAAATTTATTTTTATATATTATTTTTCATTATAATTTCCTTTTTTTAAAGAATAATTATGATTTAATTTTATAATTTGATATATTATTTCCTCATTGTATTTATGACAAAATTATTGTACAATTCAAAATATTATTTTTGCAAAATAATTTTAATTATTTGCACTTTACAAAGCATGATTGAATGTATTAATAATTAACCATGGGTTTTAAGAGATTTTTCATATACACTGACGCTCGTGTAAAATAAAATAATAAAAAAATGTTATCCAATAGAGCATACATTCCTGGCTATTGTAACTTTAAATGGACGACTAGCGAAGCTATCTGTGTTACTTCGGTTAAACGCTCCATCGTTCGTAGAATCTCAGGATAACTGTAATAGGATTCCGGAGGATCACCGCAGTTTAAACAGTGAACCTGACCTTTATTGTGCTCTTCCCACTATGAAGGCTGGCAAGTGCTCTGTGGGTTGTGCTGAGCTTAATGGATCCTTACTCGTTTGTGGCGGGTATGATCGAGTCGAGTGCCTCAAGTCAGTCGACAAATACATACCGGAGACAAATACATGGGAAGTATTGGCTACTATGAAGGAGGCTAGGGGTAGGTTCGGCATTGCTGTTGTTAATGAGAAAGTCTACGCTATTGGTGGTTCCAATGGCATCACCGAATTGGCAACTGTGGAGGTGTTTGAACCCGAAAATGGAAAGTGGAAAGCCATTGCTAGCTTGCCACTAGCAAGATCTAACTCAGGTGTCTGCGCGTTAGGCACCAAGATTTATTGCATTGGCGGCTGGAATGGACAGGTTTATTCTTACTTTTATTTATTTCTTGCATTGTTTTATATTCTTTACTAATACATTAATAAATATATATACATATAATACTAATAAATTGTATACAAATTCATTTTTTAATATATTGATTAGAATCAATATAAATTTATGATATAATAATTTTAAACTCAGAATTAAATTGAAATTCAATTACAAAAATTTAATGATTGGCATAAAATAAGTAGATATAAAATATTGCTTAAATTAATCGAACATTTATAAAATATATAATTACTATCAAAGTTAGCATTTTACTGTTATATCATTTGACTTATACAGAAATTAACAATTAATTATTTGTAAACAATATAAATAACTTTCATAACACAATGGATATTTTGCAGAAGTTCGCTTGGGGTTTAGTTGAAATGTCTATTGAAACTCTGTTTTATTTGAATACATAGAATCGAAAAAAATAATACTTAAAAAATATTTAAAAAATTTATTTTAATTAAATTTAATTAAAATTTTTAATAATTTATATAATTTTCCCAATTTTCAATAATTATGTATTTTATTAAAATTATTCATAGATGTTAATTTTCGTTAAGTATCTTTAAAATTATTATTTCTACAGTATTGTGCATTGGTAAAATCTAAATATTTGAAGCTGGTCTTTTTTACAAGCAATTTCAATGAATATTAGTTAACCAGTTTTCCTTTATATATACACTGCAACGAATTTTAAGACCAATTGTATTGAAGTTGTTTCCACCTTTTATTAAACTTATAGCATTGTGTATGATTATATTAGTGGATGTGAAAATTCGTTTATACTATATTTGCAATTAAAGCAAATCTGTTGTAAATGCTAATGGTAGTTAAAAGTGTAATTTTTAGATGCGAAATATTTATTTGATGTTGTTCTTCCTCAATTCCTCAATTGGAAAGTATTCTGTTAGTATTGTTTTGTTCTTCTATTTTAATTCGTGCCCTATTATTTATCATAGCTTTTACTTTTAATTGTTTTGTTGTAATTTATTAAATGCGGCAAACTTTACAATACTATTAGAAATAAACATATTTTGTTTTAATATTCATTGATTTCGTAAATTCGTTAATTTAAAAATATTTATATAATCAAAATAATGCTCTTTATTGATTGACAAGTTATATTTTAATCGAATAAACCATGTCAATTTTTTAATTATAACTAAAGGTTTAGTAATGTTGTAACGTTTATTTCTAAGTATTTTATTTTAGATATCGTAATCTTTGATAAAATTTTTATAAAAATTAACTATAAAAACTTATTTTAGTTTCTATATTTTTTGTAGAATATTGTTACCTTGTATTATTAGACTAAGACTAAGTGATAATAAATTAATACTATCCATGATGTAACAATATACTTAATAGTCTTTTTTACATTATTTTAATGAATTCAGTAATATTTTCAGTATTATCCAAAAGTTGATGTAATTTTGCCAGATAAAGCAGTAAATCGAAGAAGCATAGAAATATAATACATCGGTTAATTACACAAAAGTATTGTGGAATCCAAACTAATTAGTAATTGTTTCCTTCAGAGTTGAAGATTACTTTGCGGAAAATTATTATATATTGTTTGCTATTTCATAACAATTTTGTATTTTATTTTCAGTTGCTACAAAATAACTATGTTGTTAATAATACATAAGTTATATTATTTTAAATTACAGCACTTCGCTAATTATTTAACGATAATTATTTTAAAAATTCTTCCTTTCTTTGGAATCCTGCGTAACAATTTTTTACTTATGTCGATTGTAATTTTCATGGTTAATAGAATTTCATACAAAATCATTTAATAAAACAAATTTTTACTTGCTTCATTTTTATTAACAACTATTTCGCCTTGTTTAGACGAATTTTTTTTAGTTCAGTCAACTTAACAGATATAAAAAAAACACTATATATTTTCCTGCTACGTAAGTAATTGACGCGATATTTCAATTTTAAATTGCTGAGAAATAGCGCAACCCTCCAAAGAAAATATAGAAATTCAATTACATAAACATTCAATCATTATTTTCAAAACTAATAGCGAATAGAAAATACTATAAATACAAATATTTTACAGGCTGGTATAAAACAGTGCGATATTTTAAATCCGGAAAATGGAGTTTGGTCGAGCATAGAGTCACTCAAGATCGGTCGTTATCAAGCTGGCGTATGTGCTTACGACAATAAAGTTTATGCTGCTGGAGGTTGTGATTCCTGGAACTGCCTCAATTCTGTAGAAATTTATGATCCCGAGACAAACACGTGGAACATGGGTTCACCTCTTATTACTGCGAGACGTGGCTGTGGCTTAGCTGTTTTTAATGATAAATTATATGCTGTGGGTGGAAGTACGGGAACCCACAGCTTAACCAGTACGGAGATTTACGACACTTCAGAGCAGGATTGGATTCCCGGACCAAGTATGTCTACACCACGCGCCAATGTTGCTATTGCTGTTGTTGGAGACAGGTGAGCTTTAATTAATACATATTACTTCCGTTTATGCTTTTAATAATAATCTTGTAAAAAATAACATGTTTTTAGAAAAACTAGATATAGTGGAGTTTCATAACATTTCATATATATTTAAGCATTATTTGAAATAATTTATTAGATTATTCATGCGTATGTATAAAACTTTAATTGTAAAATAAAATAGTCCTTCAAATTATATTTAAATTATTTTGTTTGTAATTTTTGTTAAACAAAATAATTATAATATAAAATACTGACTTGAAAACATTTTTGTATGTAATTTAATAGTAAATTAACACAAATATTATGAAACTTTGGTATAACTGTTAAGAAATGATGAGTATATTAAGTAGACCATATTATTAGATATTTTTGAAAATTATTTATATGTACATGTAATTTTTTAGTCATTCATTCTATATATATTCATTTTATAATATTTTGAAATAATTATACTAATAACAATCAAAGATTTTAAAAACTGTCAGATTTTAATATACAAAATTGCCATTACTTTAAAGATTTAATTGCATCTAAAATATGACATTCTATTAAATAAATTTTAAATAATTCCTTATTTCAAATACTTTTATATTTCTAATTTTATTCAAACATTTAATGTATGAATTCAAAAGTATCTCAGATAAATAAAAAAGTATCCGAATTATTACAACAAATATGAATTTTCTAATTTCATCTTCTAATATTTATTTAACAACACATTAATTATTTTATTAATACTTAATAAATTTTTTTAAATAAGATATAATTAACCTATTCTCAGAAAATTTTTAAAATAGCCTACATGGATTTTATAGTAAACATTTCCAAATATTTTTTTGGCCTGGTCAAATAATTTTAAACAATTTTTCTAATATTTTACATCCATAAAAAATTACTAATTCCAAACATTGTAGTATAATTTGTTGTTACAATTTAAGTAACTTATATTAAGTTGCATAAGAATACAATATTTCATATAATTAATTTTGTAGGAAATGTTAATAATATATAAAGTATTGAAAAAGTAATTAACTCATGAATATCTAATAATATTAAACAATAAATAAAACTTTAAAGATTTTTAAAAATATGTATCTATAATAATAATAAATTGTATTAAATTTATAAACAAATATTTTATTATTTTATAATTATATTTATGGTATAAGGATCACGATAGCAAATTTCAAATTCTTTTTTTAATTTGAAATACAAAATAACATACACATCGATTTTTTATTATTGAAAAAATGTAAATTTAAAAAAAATGCTATCTTGAATGCTTATCTTAATTATAATAATTAGAAAATTACATAATTTATCAATAATTTTGTAGATTGTATGCAGTTGGAGGTTTTTCTGGTAAAAACTTCTTGAATTCCATCGAATACTTAGATGTACATACTAACGAATGGACTATGTTCATTCCAAAAACAGATGGCATAAAAAATCCAAATCCAGAATATAATATGGAATCAAATTCTAATGGCAACAAAAAAGACTTGTCCCAGTTACCAGATAATGATCAACAGTGTGATAATGCTAATTCTGAAATTGGATGAAATACTATTTCCTTAGTTAATATTTGATTTTTTTATTCAGTGAAATTTCAATATTGTCTGTTATAATTTAAATACTACAATAGTTAAGTGCAATTTTAATATATCTGGTGAACGATAGAAAATATTGTTCTTTTCTCAGATTACATTTGAATATTTTTACATGAGGTTGAATTTTTGAGACCCTTGCTATATGTACTTTCAGAGATTTAAAAATTATGTATGATAATAGATAACGGTCACTAGAGTGCTATAAATAATGTAAGTTCCTTTCCTTTACTGAAATGGTCAATATTACTTTTTCAATTAAAAATTGAGCTGTGCCTAGAACAATGGTCATTAATATAATATTTACTCGATAGTATTTTTTTATCGTATGTTAATAATTTGGTTTTTATTTTTCAATACAGTTTAAAAAATACAAATTTTTACCATATAAAAACATATTTTTATTAATGAAAAAATTATGAACCACTTCCAATATGATTCTTCTGAAAATGTTTGAATATACTATTTTTAAAAACAATAATTAATTGAAACAAACCGTTATTAGAAAATTTATTTAAATTATTTTCAATAATTATATTAATTTTGAGGAAAATTATCTTGTATAGATAACTTGTTTTCTAATCATCCATTTTCGTTTTATTATTAAAAATCAAGTAACATTAATAAATTTATTTATCTCCTTTACAAGTTGTTATATAAAAAACATAAATGACTACTTTCGAAATGAAAAAAAATCAACGTTTAATGTATAAATCGTTAATAAAATTATTATAATAAAATAATAATTTGAAATAATTTTTAATAGAATTTTTAATAACTTGTAAAAAAGAGCATACGTAGCCAACAGTTCTGTTAATTATAAGAAAATAAATATTGTAATAATGATACTATAATTAATACTACAAAATTTAATAAAAAATTTATTCTGGATGATTTAAAATAAAAAATAAATAAATAAAAATACAGTATCAAGAAAACTATATTGTTTACTAACACAAAAAATCATACAGAATAGTTCCAGGTAACATTTTATTAAAAAATTGAATCTATATATAATTTTATAACATATGAAAAATTTGATAAATTGAACATTTTTTAAAACGAAAATCATATTACAAATTTCAGTTTTTTTTGTGATTGTCTGGGCCTTTAAGAAAAATAAAATTCTTAAATGTGTAAAGATAAAGCTCTTTATAGAGTAAAATAACAGGTTGATAAATGTAAAGTGTTTAATAAGTCTTTTACAAGTAAAAAATATCAAAACACTATTTTACTAATTAAATTTTTAAAGGTAGTACAATATAGTATGAGTGCGAATGTTGTGAAATGAATTGATTCTGCAAATAATTTTGATTGCATAAAATTATGTTATAAAATTAACAATTATCAATGAAATGTATTTTTATATTTATTATTTCGTATATTAAATGATTATTTAATGATTAAAATAGGAATAATCATGTTAACTGAATCCCAAATTATCAATTACTTAATCAATCAGATAAATTTCTATCACTTATGTTTATATAACTAACTAATTATTATACTTTTATTCATATGAGGAATATATGAAAATATATTACTAAAATGTTATAATAGTAAAATAAATTATAATTAACTTCAATTTTTAAACAAATAAAATTTAAATATAGGAAAATTAATTTCGTTTTAAATACTGAATTTCTGAATTTATATTTTACAGTATTTTTATCAACATTTTTTTTATAGAAAATTTACTTGTAAAAAAATTTTAATTTCTTACAAAAAACCTTAAAATGTTTAAAATATTAAAAAATAATACAACCAAATTATTAAAATAAAATATCAGTTGAATAAACTTAATTTTGTATTAACTTTTTAATATATTTGAAATAAAATTTGATTATGGTTATAAATTTAAGTAGAAAGTATTAAATTATTATTACTAATTTATATACTCGTGTTAATACAAATGTCTTGAATTCTAAAGTTAAAATTTTATGATATGGGTATTAATAATATAAAAAATAGTTCATTCACGTAAATGATGTAAATAACCCTTTATTATAGAATAACAAATTATATATATTTATAATTATGGATACTTAACGTCATTTATAAAAAAGATTTGACAAAAAGGAAAATAAACATAAAATATAACTTGTTCATAAAAAGATGTTTCATATTTTAATGAAGATTTATACCGATTTTTATATTGTGTAATTTTAAAAATACAAAATTTATTAAGCGCTTTTTAAATGTATTTGTTATGTATACAAATTTCTTAAATATAAATATTAGTTAAATTAATAAAATTTATAACATTTTTTTTCTTATAAATTGGAAAAATTAAGAAATTTTTTTAATATTGAAAACTACTTGTTGCATTTTCTAAAATACTCACAGACGTAAACTTTCAGATACATAAATTTTTTTTTGAAAATCGGTATATATCACCTTTAACTAAATAATTATATGGAATAATTTTAGATATAATATTAGCATTGAAACAGCTCTTTTATATTTCTCCATTTAGGAGTTTTTTGTCATATAAGAACTCTCCTAAAGGTCCATGCGACTCCATCATTTTACCCAATGTTGAGATCTTTCCTGCAAGATCTCTTTGGCCTGTGTACTGTTCTTCTAGAAATTCACCAGTCAAGTAATCTACCAACTACATTAAAAATTTTGTATTAATATATCTTAATAATTATTAAATTTATATTAATATATTTAGTAACTGTTTAATTTAAAAACTATGATTTAGCTAATTAAAAATGTATTTAAAAGATTAATAATACTTTGTTAAAGATTCCTATAATTATATTTTATTTTGAATAATAAACTACCTTCAATATATTTTTCATTATTAAATAAAAATCTCTGGAATATAAATATTAGAAAACATTGTATTCAAAGATAAATTTAAGAAATCCTTTTATTAACGAGTTAAAATATGTCTGTGATTCTACCACATTTTTGTAACAAAACAATTTGTTAACAATTTTTATATCTAAAATTATAATTTAATAAAAACTGAAATAGTTTATTATTTCAGTTTAACGTAAATTTAAATAAAGAAATTCTTGTTAATTAACGCATTATGATCAATACATAATTTTTCTCTAATTTAAAAAATTTCGATTGTAATATTAAAAAAAAATCGGTATCGGTTATCTTTTACTTAAAAAATTATTTTATCATTCAAATACCTAAAAAGATAAATAATAATTATCTATAGTACTCACATGATAATCGTTGAATGGAATGTCCTTTGGCGTTTCGCAAGTTTCGATAATCTCACGAATATTTCTAGTTACTTGTGTTTCTAGTTGAAGAGCATCAGTGAGAGCATGCACACCGTTTTCCCATTGTGTCCCAATAGATGGCAGTGGGAACTTAAGAAGATTGCTCACATCACTCGTCAATTGTCCGCGCATAAGCAAATATTCAATGACCTTTATTGCGTGCATGCGTTCCTCATTTGCACTTTTAATGAAAAACATGCTGAATCCTGGACGATTGACCGTATCACGTGCAAAATGTGCACCCTGAATGAAATCTTAATGTATTTTTTTTTACTAGGCTATATTCATTTTTCAAACAAGAAAATAATTTATAAATATATCTTGAGATATTTCAAATATTTACTTAAATTTAATATTTATGTCAACAAAATGACTCATAAATTAAACATTTAATATTTATCTTTTTAAACTAATAAATTATATAAAACTAAAGTTGAATAGATAGATTAAGTTTTTATAAGTATAGTAAAGAATAAAATAATATATATTTTTATTAAAATTATAAAATAATTTTATACAGTAGCTTAACTTTTTACCATGGCAAGATATGTCATCGCTGCTTGTATCTCAACTTTTACTTGTGCCTCAAGGATTTTGATACATGGAACGACCATGTCTCGCCATTCTTTTGGAATTTTGGCAGGTTTTGTAGTGCCTGAAATACGATTTATCTACATTGGTAATTAATTTAATCAAATAAAATGAAAAAGATTATAATTAATTAATGATATATATATTTTTTTAATTCCTTAATCAAATTGAATATATTGAAACAATTTTATTTTAAATAAACTGTTGCTAATGAAGAAAATAAATATTTGGTACTAAATAACTATTTAAAACATAAAATAAATAACAGGTAATTTTAGGAATTCTATTACATGCTCTTCAAGATTAAAATTCTATCAGTGCGCACAAGATTATAAATATATTGAAATTTTTATCAGTGACAAAGATAAGTTAAAATTATTTTCAATATATTCAATTTATTTCTTAGGTGACCATTTATATAATTCTTTCATGTTATTTCATGATGTACACACAGATAAAAATTTGGATATCTAAGGAATCAAATATATGATAAATTCTTACAATCATTGAACATTAAATTATAAAAAATATAATGATAAAACATTTACATAGAATATTAAATAAACAAATATTTTCATGAAATTACAAAAAAATATATATATATTCTATACAAACTTAAAAAATTATCCATGTATATGTAATAAAATTAATTATTTTAAATAATTCCAATGTCAAAATTAATTTCATATTTATGAAATTTATAAATCATTAAATAAATCAGAAATTTGAGATTATATTTTTTTTAATAGTAGATAATTGTATAAATTTATAGAAATTAATTTTGATAACATAAGCTAATTAAATTCCAGAATCATATCAAACTAAATATTTGTAGTTTTTTAAAAGTTAGTAGAACCAATAAATAATATTTCTCAAATATGAAATATTTTTATACATTTTCTTCGCCTTAGATATATTAATATATCTTAATTCGTACTCTATGAATCTTTTATAAATGTTCTTATTTGCATATAATACCATTATTAAATCTTCGTTTTTCATGATACTATTTTAAGTATGATTAGAAAAATTGTTGATATAGTGATCAATTTGGAATAAATTAAATGATACATTATTTATTATTTATGTTTGCTTGTTAGATTTGAAACCTGTACTGATATTGATTTTAGTTTAAAAAGTAGATATTTCTTTTTTTTATTTCATTTACTTACAAGAATTTCATATATATAATTTAATATACTGATATATTAATATAACTTCATTTGTTAAAAATTGAAAAATAAATTATTTAAAGAATTAATATATATAATTTTTACAATTATAAAAACATTTCATTTCCTATTAATGCAAAATAAAAAATGATACAAATAAATCTTTAAAAACATAGTTATTGAAATGATAAATAAGATAATAATGCTGGAATTATAAGAATAGTATAAACACTAATCAGTAAATTCAAGTACAAAATCTTTGAATAAATAATAATAAGAAAGAAGTAATTTATTAATGATTTAAAAAGTATTATATTACATTTAAAAAAAAGGTTTTTAAATAAATTCAAGGTCATTTGGAGAAAAGTACTGTTTCTTAGTATTCCAATATTGTTTATCTACAATTACCTAAAATTGATTGATGACATTTGAATGTAATAACGGAGTTCTATGTCTCAATGATATATTAAAAAAAATGAAAAATATTTTTAATTACGTATAACGTTTATATGTGCATAAAAGTACTCACATTTGAAGCTGTCAGATGAACAAATGCCAATGCATGACAATGCAAGTACAAAAACGTTAAACAACTTCATAACGTAGGTTAGTATTATATTTTTGTCGTTTAGAAAATAAAATTAAGATATGAACAATCTCAAAACTTAATATCTAACCCGTTATGAAGCAACCTTTATACACACTGGTATAGAAGGCTAACTTCTAACGTCTTTCAAAGTACGCTTGAGGATGTAGAGCAATTTATGATTTTTTGAACTCAACTCAAATAACTTTGTGTTTGGTCACTGACCACTTGAGAAAAAAATATTTAATAAATATAATATAATAGGTAGCTGAACGACGTGGTTGCCGCCAATCGTCACTGTTCGTTCTTTACTTGTAGTCTTTATAGTTCGTTGTCGTGCTGCCACCGCAGAAAAAATATTTACGAATGCAGAAGGGGAAATACATATGAAGAATCATATACGCTTGACCCCTTCCGGGGCGAGAGGGTAAAATCACTCAAATATTCGACGTAGTTAGTATTTCCGGCGTTGCCACATTGTTGTACGATGTAGTAAGCGTATTATACCATGCACTGTCACAGTATTCCAAATGCGAAACTGAGCATTTGAAGAACTTTTGCTTTATCCTGATGTAATACAAAATTCTAAGCAAAAGAATTAACAAATTATTTCATAAACTTATAAAGATTTTTGCAACATTAATATATTTTTGTTTTATGTATATTTAAAAAAATATATAAAATTCTTGAATTAAAATGCTCGATTAAATTGTTTCTATTCGAACATTTTCTTTGATTTAATGTTTTAATGCATTATTCAATTATAACTTATAATTAAGATTGACTCAGTTATAAAAATTATTGCAAAAATATGATAAGAAGCAAAATAAATCTTTAAAATAAAATAACTGGGCATTCAACAATACAATAAAGAAATGTTATATATAGAAAATAATATTTTACTTATGAATACATTTTCTATACCTTATAATCTGTTTACATGATACTATACAAATATTAAGAGTACATATGTTTAAATATTGTTATTATTACATTTACTAAATTTTGATATTCTACATGATAATTACGATTATTAAAATCATACGTTTTATAAAGAAGTAATCCAATATTTCATTTGAAAGGAAAGTGTTAATTTAATTGCATTTCATTCATATAATTGATAAAATAAAAAAAAAGCTCAACATTCTTAAAATTCATTTCAGTTATACAAAGATGATTAAAATAAATTCAAATTAATTTGAAATATAATTAAAATGAAAAATAAAATAATAAAATTTCAAAATGATTACTGCTATATTATTTTTTTTAATAATCATTTAATATTAGAAATAACTTAAAAATATTTTTGAAAATTAGCACAGAATTCATACACTTAGCTTATTATATATTATTATTTTAATGTTTAAATTAATACTATAGCTAAAAGTACTTTAGGATTTTCAATTAAAAAATTAATATTGTAGTAAAAATAGAATGTCATAAATAATATATTAACTTTTTTTGTATTAATATATGTTTATGTTTCCAATGCAATTCATTTTAATTGTATTTATTAAAGAATTAGAGTAAGCAACGTGAAAAAATTAATTAAAAATAATTTCCTTCTTCATTTTTCCAATAAAATTTTGTAAGAAAATTTGAGAATAATACCAAAATTGAGAATAAAAAATATTAAAATTTATCTAATATAAAATAATATAATAAAAAAGTTATATATTCAAGTTATATCATTACTTCTATTTATGAAATTTAAATATAAAGTTAATTAATATTAAATTAATGAATGACAGCCTCATATTTTTAATAAATATGATGTAAACATTCTATAATACATAATTACATAAGAATAATTCTAAAAAAAATATACTTCAAAATTACATGAAGATGTGACTATTTTATAGATACGTTATATTTTTTAATCTTCTCTTATAGATAATAAATAATACATTTGAATAGTAGTATCAAATTATTGAATATTAAAATAATATACGAAATTTAATAAGGATTTAAAATTCATTTAGAAATAAAAATTATATAATTAAAAAATATTTATGTGCTTATTTATAAATTTGATTATAATTTATAAATTTATTGAATAATAACGTTAAAAGTAGATATTTTATTAAAATAATAATTCAATGCTATATATTTGGATTTTTACGTAATTATATATTTCAATCAAATCTTATCACCTATTCGATTAAATTTAATATATTTGATATCAAAAACAAAAAATAAGATTGTGTATCTAATTTTTATATATCTATCCTTCTGCAATTTTATATTATTTATAACATTTTTGTTGTATTTAATTTACACAAAATTAAATAATGCATAAGTTCTTGAAATAACGTTTTGATTAATCGCAAAATAAATTTGTTATTTTAATTTAAACATATATTCTCGGTAAATAATAATAAATATATTCTAATTTAAATATTAAATATTAGAGACATTTAATAATAAGTAATAATCGATGTGCTTTTGGAATAATTGCTACTGTATCAATACAAATATACGTTATATAAAACTTTTCAACAAAAATTTTAAATTAATAATCACATTTAACAATCTCATTTAATATTCAATCAATTATTAATTAAATGAATAGTAAGTTATAATAAAAATTTAATTAATAAAAAATATATTCTATTGTAATTGTTTTTATATAAAAAATAAATAACACATTTAATTATATTTAAATTAAAATAGTGTAAAAATTTTTTATGGAATAGGCTCAAAATATTGAGTCTTAAAATATTAATCATTACATCATTGCCTGCTTTATCATTAAATATTAGTTATTAATATTTTATTCGTGTTTTATTATTGATTTAAGTATGATTTTTAAGATTACAGTTTATAATTTTAACACTTTACAAATATTTTCTTGAAACATTGACTTTTATATTTATGAAAAAAAACAAGATGTAATTTATTTGATCGCTTCATATTAATCCCTTTTTAAAATCTAAGTTTTATACAAAGAAAATTAGTTTTAAGAAATATTACTATTAATTAAAATTAAATAAAATATATAAAATTTGATGTAATCTTACATTATACAATTAAAGTTATTATTTATTAATTTATTTATATTATTTATTTAATTGATTTAAATGTTTCAATTATTGATTATCGTGAAATCTTAAATGCTTAGATAAGTTTTAAATATCGTATAATTCATAAAGAATTATTTTTAAAGTACAGTTAATGGATTTATAATTTAACTTCTCATTAATTTTATAGAATTATTTATGACACATTATAAAAATTTAAATAATAAATAATACATTTAATATGACAAATTATTACTTGCATAAAATATAAGTGTTAAAAGGTATATCTGAGGATATATTAAATTAAATCAACAAACATTTCATCATCCATTGGATTGATGGAAGGATTACGATGATCAGAGGTAAAGATAGCAATTGTATTCATTCCTACATACTAAACTATCACAAAAAATACAAAAACTATCTATTGAATGATAATTTAAATCTTCAAATTTTCATCACTATGTCGCATTTTAAATTGTACTACGATATTAGATAATTGTAATGATAAATTTCGTAAAGCAAATTCGGCAACATCGCATTATAACGCATGCGCAAATATTATCGACTGCAGTAAATCCCTTCTTAAATGGTTTCAATAATAAGCAGCACTGTCCGAGTTTTAAGTACTTTCATTGTTAACAAATTGTCAGGACGAGAGTATAGAGTTTTTTCCTAATTACCAAATTGTTTTTATAATTAGGTATGTATGTTTTAGAATGAATTAATAAAAATGTTTGTATATTATTTATTTATTGTATTTTTTTTTAATTCTATATTAATATAAAATAAATATTTATTGGGTAATATTTAGATCCTTAATTTTTTTACTGTCTACCCTTATCAGGTCACCATCGCATCCGAATGAGGAAAATATACGTTGTTTGATTTTATATTCAATAAAATTTCTTTATGAAGTCACAATGCTTCAACGAAGTAATTATATAATATAAATCAAAACAATTTTATTGAATTCTATTTTCTATTAAATTATTAAAAATTTAATAGTGTATTATTAAAAAGTTTTAGTTGATTTCATAATTACTTGTAATTAAATATTTGCTTATTATATATTAATAATGTTTATAGATACAATATCAAACATTTACATTTTTTTATATTCTTATCAATATATTTTAATGTAAAAGTAAAATATTTTTTAATCAAAGTATTACGTTGTTTTAAGTTTTAAGTATTTAAAAAAAATTGTTATATTTGATTTTGATAAAGAAATATTTTTGTATTTATAATTAGCTTCATGCTCATTAAACATTTAAACATATTTTAATATTACAATCATTAAAAGTAATTACATTGTTAAATAAAAGATTTTGTTAATTTTTATAATATAAAAGTATTGATTTTATTTATCAATTGTTACATATTTGACATACTTTAATAAAAATAAATCTAAATATTCTAAATTAAAAAAATTTTTTTCAAAATTTCATTCAATTTTCAGCAAAAATGTTTGTATTGGGAGTTTTGTATGCTGTATTAATTACTACTTCAGCAGAATTTTGTTACAAAGATGTTGAGAATGTATGTAGCCAAAAACTTACATCAGTATTATCAGGTATTATCAAATGGAAATTAAACATGATTTTATTTTAAGTAAAATTGTAAAATTAAAATTTTTTTACAATATAAAATATATAAAAATAGCATAATCTCTCTATATATATTTAAATTTTTAATATTTTAATAATATAGATGACTTAACACTGTCTAATTGTAACGCAAAATATGGAGGTATTGATTCTATGCAAATTGAACTTCAAGCTTATGCCAATGGCCATATAGAGACTAGTTTTGAATTTTTATTAATGTCAACTCATTTTGGAAATTATGAATCAAATAGAGTTGGATTTAAAAATCTTTATAGAAAATTATCAGATAGTGCTTGGGAAAAGTCTATTGATTTAATTAAATATATTACTAAAAGAGGAGGCAGTATGAATTTTAATCAGCTTCCACATTTTAAAAAGAATGTATGTATAAATTATTATTGAAAGTTTAAAATATATACTTTAATTATTTATAATATTTGGTGTTTTAAAAAATATATAATACATTAAATTATAAACTTATTATATTTATCATAGTATAATTATATAAAATTATAAATGAATTAATTATATATAAAAAATTCCAGTTTAGTATGATGTAATTACAAATTAAATTTTTATTTCATTTAGAAATTTCTAGCTCTTTAATATATATTTGTATTGTTAAAAACTAATAAAATTGAACATAAATTTGCTTGTATTATTAATGTTGAAAAATTTTTATAAGCATTTATTATTATTATGCAATTGCTCAGATCATTTATTATTTTATTTTGAATAACTATATTTAATAAATGGTGATATTAAAATTTGATTTGTGTATTACAGTTATACCAAAATTAAATTAATTTTGTATATTTATTATTTTAATTTCTGCCTAAGCAATATATTATATTCTTTCTTAATTGTAATTAGACGTTTTTTTCATTATAAATTTTCTATTGAGATAACGAAAATAAGTAATTATTACATAGATTAATAATTACTTATATGTGAAAAACGAATGTGCCTATTCATTTATTGTCATAAATAATTAAATGGATTTAATTTTAGGAGAAGGATTCCCATGTTCTTGAATTAACTGAAATACATAGTCTTGCCAAAGCTCTTGATTCACAGAAACAATTAGCTGCTGAAGGGCTTCGCTTGCATATTCAAGCAAAAAAATACCAAGATGCTGCAATAGCCCACTATCTTGAGGAAAAGTTCCTGGAATCTCAATCTGATGTTGTGCGTGTACTGGCTGGACATACGTCTGACCTTAAAAATATGCTTGATCGTGATGCATCAGTTGCTATATTTTTATTTGACGAATACCTTCAGAAAATCTTATAAGTTTTTATGGAAATGTCTTTTATTGTACAATAATTATTCCATTTATATGATTATTCAAATTAATAAAATTTAAAGAAGAAATAATATAAAGATGTACAGAGGAATAAGTTGGTACAGTAATTAATTAAAAATATATAATAAATTATATGATAAAATTATTTCTTAATAAGTTGAAGTTGACATGTTTTAATTATAAAGAGTTTTTATTATATAAAATTATGGATGATTATAAAAACTATTTTTATTTTTTAAACAACTTCATTACAAAATGCATATATTAGAATGTATTATTATTGATCTTGTACCGATACTTACGAATCTATTAAAATTCTGTATGATACACTACAAGATCAAAATGATTCTGTATAAAAATAATAAAAAAAGCAATCAACAATAGTGTTAGGTTTAGTAACAATTTAATAAAACTATCGAAAATAAAGATTAGGCATAAAAAAGCTTTTAAGTGTTACCAAGCATATTATTTCCATTATAAAATTATACAATATAAAATTTATATTAAAAAATTGAACAAATGTATGATAGTAATAAAACTTAAACTTTTATAATTTGATGATTATATATAATATACATAAAAATTTAATGTTCAAATAGAAGAGATTATACTCGTAGGATAATTCAAAAAAATTAATTTTTTAAAATTTATAATAATTTATTCGTTTTCATTTATAAAAACTTGATTACATATTTTTTTAATATAAAAATAGTATTTTTATGTAATAGTTATAATATTCAAATCATTTAATTTATGGATATATATATATATATATATTTCCCCTTTTTTACATGAATTTTCTAATGACTACTTATATTCAATGTCAATCATATCAATCAGTCAACCATAATGAAATCATAATCTACTTTTAGTAATTTTTTAATATTGCCTATATAAAAATTGTTCGTATTGATTTTATCATTGAAATATCAAATACTGAAACATGTATATTATCACTCATAATTATTTTCTTTTTAAAAAACAAAAAAATATTTTAATTTTATTCAACTTCACAAATAATGAAATCTTTCCAGTTAATTTTATACATTAGTTTTTTTTAATACAGCATTTGTGTATAAAGTATACAATTTTATATACATACTTTTTTATGAAGTTTAAAAATTAATTTTAATATCATTGGTTAACGAAAACCAAACCTTATATTTACTAAGATAAAATAAAATCTTAACATACTAATTATTAAATAATTTAAAAATTTGATGAGTTGTTTTAATTATTAATAGAATAATCTAAATATATGAATTTATAAAAAAAACTTACGATTTAGTAGTATGTTTATTTATAAATCAATTTAATAATAATTTTATATAAATATTTTAAAGATAATAATGAAAAAGTTTTTATTTTGAATGTACAACAATAATGTATCATTCATTGTATTTATATAAAAATATTATGTAAAAGATATATGTTAATTATATAAATATTTATTTTATAGATTACACCATATTTGTTACAATTTTATAAACAAATAATTCAACCTAGATTTAATGACATATATATTTTAGGCAAATATGATTTTACAAAATTTTAATAATTTTGAAAATTCCATAAAATCAATGTTTTTGGTATTAAATAAAAATAAATTTACATTATTTCAGTACATCTATTATTCTCAGATTTTTTAACATATTTTATAAGAAAATCTTATTTCTTTTACAATATTAGTATTTTTAAATTACTTCATAAAGTTTTATGTTAAGTTAAAGAAAAATTAAAAAATATGTTTTAATATTATGTTATATTCTCAAGTTTTTAAAAATAATATTAATATGAATTAATATATAATTTTACCAAAAAGCGAAATTATTGGGGTATTATAACTTGATTGCAATTTCTATATCACACTCTTAATTGATAAAAAACATACAAATCAAGTTCTGATCATTTTATAGTAGAAAACGTGTGTTCCAGTGAATCAATTATATTATAGTATAATATATTTATAAATATATATACTATTAGACTTAGGTTATCCTTCTACTCTCAGTTGGATGATACCTCTGTCTTATAACAGTAGGACTATTCAAATTAATAAAATAATTTACAAATAAGTAAGATGATGTTAAGATGGTTTTATTCAATAAAAATATTAAATTTACTCTAATGATGTAACTAATAATTCAAGCAGTAATTACTTATTTAAAACATAACAATAAGGTTAATTTAAAGGTTAACACAAAACAGTTTTCTTGTTATATTTTATATTATAAAGACTTTTATCGTCAATTGTAATTACTGTATTCTAATAACTGGGAAGTATGTTTATGATCTAAGTAATTATTTTGAAGATATTAAGTATCTTTCTAACTTGTAAAATAAAATTATATGAATATCAGTTTAGAATATATTACTAATTAATTGAAAGTATGTTTTAATTAGGACACTTAATTCTGAATTCTTAATTCATAAAAATAACAATTATAGTCATAAAAGATATATTGTTTATATATTAATAATTCATGTACGTGTTTCTTTTAGCTTTTCTAATCACCTTACAAATTGTTCTATATATATAAATCAATGATTATATTTAGGTTCTGCGAAATTATACTTTAGTTCAATAAACTTATATATAATTTTATTAAATTTAAATAATTTATTATTAGTGAATAAATAGTCATTAAAAATCTACTGATAGAAATTTTATTTCTATTATACATACTTTAAACAAGTTTATTTTTTAATCTTTTTATCCTTAGAAACTTTTGTTACATCATCAGGATTTTCTGTTGCATCTTTAATACGTTTAGCTCTGATGCCAATTAATTTTGCATCAGTTCTAGCTTTACGTAATGTAATATAAGCATTAAATTTCAACTCATCTTCAGTGATAACACGAGCTTTGATTTTGGCTGGTGTTTGATGCAAACCTTGAGACATAACTTCACCTTTCACTTGTGTAGCAATCTTACACTCTTCAGAAGTTGCTTCGCCTTTTTTAAGCTATAAAAATTGTTCAAATAAAATTAAAATATCATTTTAAAATACATGATTTTGAGTAAATTGAAGGATCTGCTTCTCAATTACTTTCTTTTAAGAAACTGTATTTATACAAAATTTTTAAGTAGGATTTATTATTAGTGTCTAAAAATTAAATGAAAAAACACAATCATTATAAAGTATGATAAAATCTATTAATTTCTTTATATTAATTAATTTATTAAATAATAATGAAGAAACAATGAATTATTAAATCTATATTAATATAAAACATTCATAATTTTATTTTATTTTAAAGCTTTTTTAATGATTATTAAACAATCTTAAATAAAACACTTTTAAATCATAAAGCTTACTCTCAATTTTTCGAAATTTCAATTTCATACTTCAAAATTTTATATAATTTGAGAATAGATGATTATTATACCTTCTTTTCATTTAATGGAAAGAGAATCAATTTTGCTTTAAACTCTGTTAGCCTCTGAGCATTCTGCTGTAAAGTTTCAACAGATTTATTACGTCTTCTTGGATCAACAGCAATCCCAATTGTTCTTGCAAATTTCTTATGTAGACCACTAGCTTTCAATTCAGCAAGAGTAAAACCTTTCCCTGCCTTAGTTTTAGAATGATAACGAAAAGTGGGGCAGTGTACAATTGGCCTTAGTAGATTTACAGGTCTATAATAAATTAAAATATTTTAATATTTTAATTAGATTTCAAAGTTAATAATGTACCTTGGAGCAAGAATTCGAGCTTTCTTAATGCGATTTGTTCTCCTACGATATTTACGAGCAGGTTGATTAAACCACGTTTTAACAAAACGCTGCCAGTCCTTATGAAAATGGCCATTAGGTATCATATTATTCCGTTTACCCATTGTTCAGCTACAATTCATAATAATTAAACAATAAAAAACATTTCTAATTATAAAAATACAATTAATAAAATATTACGTTAACAAAACCAGTTTTGTTATAATTAATAATTAATGGAATTACTACTTATAAATTTATATTCATTAAATGACGACACTTAACCTACATTAAATACCTTGGAAATAAAAACAGAACTTAACAAAAATACAAAAAATATTATTACATTAAAAAAAATAAATAAATGAACAATATCATATTATTACGTGTAAATTAAAAATGTAATGATGATAATAATAAAAATAGATGACTTTCCTTAAAAACAGTCTACCTGACGTTGATCTATATCATAAAATAGCACATTCAGAAAAGCTAATAGGAATTGTACATAGATTTGATCACTGATGCACAAAAGAATTCACTATGATTGGTGCTCTCAAACGCGCGAAAAATAAGTAAATCAAACACTGTTAAAATAATAGTTTTAAATTATAAAATGTATACGATATACGGCTTGTCTTAATTATGTATACTTTAATATTAAATTAAAAAATTAAAATGAATTAATTTGTAAATAAAATGGTAAAAACTAATTATGATACCATAAAATATAAGCAATAAAGAAAAACAGATGTTTATTTTGAAAGTTTTCTCTGGCATTGGCACAAAAGTATCAAAATCTTTATTATATAATAACTTATCACTATTTGTAAATTTTTAATTTCTTATATTTTATAAGATATTTTAAAAGTCACGTACTACACAAGTAACACAGCCAATCACATTTTACATCTGTCGTTTATATTATATTTTAAAAGTAAAAATCGATGCTTTGGAAAATATAACAAGAAATAAATTACTTGTTTGTCTTTACTATATATTGCTAAAGAAAAAATTTTTTTAATATAAATGTAATAGTCGATTTTATAAAATATAAAATAACATAACATGTATTAATAATATTATAAAAAAGTTTTGTTTTATGTCATTCTTATGTGGATGTTAAATATTCTAATCGCGATATTATAATTTATTGTTAAATGTATATAATATGATTATGAAAATATAATATATATTTACATTAATTTTTTTATGAATGCAAAATAATAGTTTCAAAAATAGGCTAAGTTTTTGTGTTACAATAGGTAAAGGTTTTACTTTTTTTTTTAAGTTAATTTTGTCTCGTAATTCTCGTTTAGAATCAGTCTTATTTAATTATAATTTTTCTAGAAAGCGACTTATACATGTTATTTACTTTTTGTCTTATTTTTCGTATTCTTCTTAGTTATCGCTAGAATGTACTTCGTCGAGTTTTCGTAAGTGGCGGTAGCATACTATTAACAACAGTTATGAGTACCCTCGATTAGCTTATCACAATGATCTGTATTAATTCCTGATTTAAAAACTTTTTTGAGAGTATTATATATTTTTAAAGGTCAAAACGGTTTTTCATATCCCCATAACACTTGTATAGTAATATGTCAAAAATTTCCTTGTTTATATTTTTCCATTTCTGTTTTAAATAGTTATAACATAAAAAATTTGTAGACTTATGTAGATTTTTAAACTTTTATAATTAGAATAAAATATAGTATAGTAATTACAATAAATATAGTATATAAAATAGTATAATGTACATTGTATTGTAAAATAACAATTACATACTTTTATTAGAAATGTAAAAAATAACATTAATGTGCAATCTGAAATGTGATATCCCCTTGAAATAATTAATTATCTTGTTATAAGGAATTGTTAATCTTAATTAGATTTTGAATATGGCTTTAAGTTTAACCGACCCTAATTCATTTTCTCGTCCAGGTATGTAATTATTTTAATTTTACAATATAGAATGCATTTTTTGACAAACTTTGTTAACATTAATGTTTTAATAATAATTTTAATATTGATTTAATTTACATAACTAACTTTTAATTTAACTACTATTTGATTTTATTTTATGATTTTTTAAATATTTTATTTTAATCAATAGATTGTGATATAATAATTAAGATTATTTTAATATGTCAAAAATATTATTTCTGTATACTTACGATATATATTTTAATGTTATTTTAATTTTATAATAATTATAATTTAAATTTATAATAATTATTTTAATGTAATAAATTTTTCAATTTAAAATGATTTGATGTAATTTGTATTTTAGATTTGGCAGTTATTAATCATATACATATAAATGCAAAAATTAATTTTAAAAGGAAAATATTTCAAGGAAGTGTTATACTCGATATCGAACAAAAAGAACAAACAGATATTTTGGTATGCTTGATGATATGATATTAATACAAATAAATATATTAATTATAATAAATTATATTGTAAACAGTTTTTTTTTAAATATATTTTGATTAGATTTTAGATGTGCAAGACCTAGTTTTGTTATCAATTATAAATGTAATTGACAAATCTAGACTTGATTACTGTGTAGAAAAAGGTGTTGACTATGGATCAAAACTTAGTATTAAATTACCAACTACACCTATTATAGATTGTGGCAAAATAAAGTAAATTAATTAATATAATTCTCATTATTATTGATTTATTATTATAATTCATGAAAATTTCTTATATATTAATATATAAATTAAAATATTATTATTTTAGGAATACTTATAGTATTTTAGTTTTATGTGAAACTGGATTTAAAATTAATATTTAGTATATAATTTTATATATATATATATAGTCATGTGTATATGTATATATGTATATAAATCATAATTATTAATAATCATAATTTTTTATAGTGTAATATATAGCAAAAATATTAATTGTAATAAATGTTTAAAAAACCTTTTTTTAGAAAACATATAATCTCTATATTAAAAAAAAAGTTCAGTACAATAAGAATTAAATAATTCATTGTTTTTATTTATGCATAAAACAGTAAATACATATATGCATTCATCATATAAGAAATTGGTACTTGTAACGGATGATAAGGGTTCACATAATATTTTATTCTAGATACAAAATTAAAATTGATTACCGCACATCACAAGAATCAACTGCACTGCAATGGCTTTCACCTGAACAAACTTCAGGTGGAAAATATCCATATGTATTTTCTCAAAATCAGGTAATAAAATTTAAATGCTATTATTTATTTATAAATTTGAAATTATATTCATTTGATATGGAGAGGATATTAAATATTAATCCTATGCTTACAATAAATTTAGTAATTTTTTTTATATTTTATAGATAATATTTTACTTTCAATTTTAATATGAAATGTATATAATGTAAAATTTTATCTATTTTATATCATCAAATATAATACAAGTTTTTTAGGTAGTAATGTTTTAATTAAAAATGATGACTACAATATATTGAACTTTATTGATTTCATTTTTTTTAATTTTTAATTCAGCTTTATGTATAATAATTTATTATGAAATAAAAACATTCAACATTCTTTATAACAAATATCAAGAATTTTGAATATTTATAATCTATGATTTGTTGATAAGAAATCAATTTAATTATGATTAGAATGAATCACTCTCTAAATTAATCAATGTCACTTCATATCTAATAAAATTTATTTAAAAATTTGTTTACATTTAGGCAGTTCATGCAAGATCTATGTTGCCATGTCAAGATACACCATATGTTAAATTTACTTATTCAGCTGAGGTAATGTTTCATTAACATAAATTAGAATCATTTAGTTTTTGTTTAATATAGCTTTTATTTTATTAAAAAAAAAAAATTAATTCGACTAATTAAATTGATATTTTATAAAAAAATAATACAAAACAGTAATCCAATTTGTATACAATACATTAATGTGAATTATACAATAAACATAAAGTGATGCTTCAATCTTTCAGTTTTAATATTAAATTAAAAATTAAATAAAATTTTAAATTATTTAATTTAAGTTTATTTTCATAGAGTTTAGAAACATAATAAATTAATACTTTACCATATATAATAATATATTAAAAAAAATTTTTAAGTATATTGCGTAAATAATTTTACTATTAATGAAAATAATAACATGAAACCAATTTTGCAATTAATATACTTAGTTCATAATTTTAAGTAAATTTGTATGCGAGTTATTTAAATGTGATGCCTAGTATATAAATAAGGTATTAAATAGCAATTGATAAAATTTATACAATTTAATATAAAAAATAAATTTGACCTATATTCAATATAGTTACTAAATTTCCAAAAAAATTTAAAATTGATTATGGAATCTATTTTTATTTTATTGCTTTTTATTTCATAGCCTTTTATATAATTGCTAAATTAATATTCATTATACCACATCATATTATTTCAGAATTACAATGTAATATATTATTTGCAATTATTATTTTGTAAACAGTATATTCAGAAAATACAAATGTAATATATGTTTGTAGTCTTATATGATACAATTTTAATTATAATAAAATATAATAAATTTTATGGCAGATAATTGCTGCAGCAGAATTAAATGTTTTAATGTCAGCAATAAAAGATGACATAGAAAACATAAATAATGCAACAAAAGTACATAAATTCCATCAACCAATACCCATTCCGTCTTATTTAATAGCAATAGCTGTTGGTGCTATAGTTTGTAAGCAAATAGGTCCACGTACAAAAGTATGGACTGAACAAGAATTACTTGATAAAAGTGCATATGAATTTGAAGAAACTGAAATTATGCTAAAAACAGCAGAAGAAATCTGTGGTCCATATGTTTGGGGTAAAATTTATATTAGTAGTTGAAACTTATTGAATTCAGAATTAAGATACTTTCAAATGTAGTTAAAATAAAATAGATGAAAAATGGTTATTTATATAAATATAACATTTAAACATTTGATACGTATAAATAAAGATATTGAATTTTATACTTTCTATTTTAAAAAAATATAAACAAGTAGAATTTTCTATTGAAAACAATATTAATAAAAACACATTTAGTTTTTTTCAATCTAAGGAGATCTATAATTAACATTTTTATTTGGTTATTAAATCAACAAAATATATCATGAATGGATTAATGACATTTTGGCTTATAAAAATTTCCTAAATTAAAAGTTGTACTTGAAAATTATACTTTTTTTTAGTGAAATTGCATATTAAAATATAATTAATCTGTGATTTTATGTTATTACAATATAATATAAAAAGCAATTTGATAGGTCCATATGATTTATTAATACTTCCTCCAAGTTTTCCATTTGGAGGGATGGAAAATCCATGCCTTACATTTGTCACTCCAACTTTACTGGCTGGTGATCAATCTTTAGCCAATGTAGTCGCTCATGAAATAGCTCATAGTTGGACTGGCAATTTAGTAACTAATGCAAATTTTGAACATATTTGGTTAAATGAAGGTTTTACAGTATTTATTGAAAGAAAAATAGCTGGAAGAATGTATGGGTGGAAAGTGAGACATTTTAATGCATTAATGGGACTTCAACAATTAAAAAACGAAGTATAATTAAGATTTATACAATTACATTTTAATAGTCAAATTTTTTTTAAGTAAAATAAAACTAATATTATAGATCAATATCCTTGGAAATACAAATCCTCTTACAAATCTTGTAATTAATTTAACTAACATTGATCCAGATAATGCAATTGGATCTATACCTTATGAAAAGGGTCACACTTTTTTATTTTATTTGGAAGAATTACTTGGAGGACCTGAAGTATTTGAACCCTTTTTACAAAATTATTTAAATACATTTAAATATAAAAGCCTAAATACAATGCAATGGAAAGATTATTTATACAAGTATTTTTCAAAAAAAACTGACGTAAATCTTAATCAATATTTATTATTATTTTATAATTCTAAAAATTAAATGTAGATGAAAATATTTTCAGATTTTAAACACAGTAAATTGGGCTGCTTGGTTTAATGAACCTGGTGAACCACCAGTAATTCCAAAATATGATACTACATTAACCAATGAATACATGGCCTTAGTTAGTAAATGGATTACAGGTGATAGAATTGCATCATTTAGCAAAAATGACATAGATAACTGGACATCCAATCAAAAAATTGCTTTCTTAACTGAGTTAGTTTTAAGCAACAAAACACTATCAATTGAACAAATGATATTAATGAATAAACTCTATAATTTTGACAATTTGCAAAATTCAGAAATACGGTACTTTATTTTATTATATTTTTCAATAATTATACATTATACTTAATACAATATTTTATTAGTCCTTTAAGAAAATAATGTTGATTTCATAAATTTTATATAAATAAAAAAAGAATTTTAAATAAAAGATTAATATATTAATATAATTTATATATTAAGAATTCCAAACCACATTATTTTTATATTTACAATTAATATTAAACTTATGATATAGATTTCAATGGTTACGACTAAGCTTAAAATCTAGATGGAAACCCAAGGTATCCACAGCCTTAGAATTTGCTACATCTCAAGGTAGATTGAAATTTGTACGTCCACTATTTCGAGATGTATATGCTTGGAAAGAAATGCGTCAACAGGCAATCGATACTTATTTGGCACATAAAGATAAAATGATGTATGTTGCACGTGAAATGGTAGCAAAAGATTTACACTTAGTAACTCAAAATAATAGGGACTAAATTTATTTAAAATAATTAATATAAATTGGATAGTTTAAAATTATAGTAGTAAATAGCTTCTACCTAACTGTAGAAAATAATACTTATTTTCATTGTATTAGTTATATTGTGAAATTATATTTGTATTTTGAAAAGTAAATTAAATATCTATAAATAAAAATACATCTATCTTTTATTTTTATACAATTAATGTAATACATAATGTGCTGGTAAATTTATAATTTGTGGAAAATTTTCAAGCTGTTCTTGGGAAATATGATCGAGTCTAATTGGGACAGGCCTAAGTTGTTTTATTTGATTACTAAGGTTTTCTTTAATTTTCTCTGGAATATTATTATCATAATATACATGAAGACGTTGCATAGTAGTTCTACGTGTTAGATTATTTCCTAAAACACTATATACTGCTTTTTGTATAATCTGAAAAAATAAACCTTACAATTAATAGTTGTTTAATATTCAAAAATAAAATTGATATGTTCAATTAAAATTAAACAAAAATATTTTAAATATGCTTTAAGTATTTGTGATTAATTAAGTTTATTTAACTACTTAAATAGGTTGTTAAAAAATATTAAATATTCAAATTTTTGTTTGTATATAATAACATTAAATTTTAATATTTTCAATTATCTTTTTTAATTCTTGTAAAACTTTTATATTAACCATTGTTGGATCTTTCTTATGCAGTTCCCAAGCCTTTGTCCATGATGCACCTTGAGGATAAGTAGTGTGATGAAAATAAACACGTCTAATCCACTCATCTCCTCTAAGAGCAATTTCATTACTGTTTATAATAACAACATGATCACCACAATCATCTAAAAAATAAAATATACATTAAACACAATTTCCAATAATAATAATTTTAATTTAATCTGTTCTAGTATATTTGATCATTTTTATACTTTTTACTGATTTCTTTTATTAAAAATAAATTAATTTCATACTTGTAGGATGATAAATTGGTTTGTATATTCCTCTTAAATAGTGTGATATTAATACTGCACTTTTATATGGATCTTGCCATGTTGCATCATATATATGCCACATGCGAGCAAAAGTACCCCATTGCTAAAATTTACATGTATTTATAAATAAATAATACTTTTACATCAAAATCATTTATTATATTAATATATATGCAATTATTAAAAATTTAGTTATAATAATGGTGATAATCAAAAATAAATACTTGAGTTTTTCGGGTAAGTGACATTAAATATACGTAGTTTCAAGAAATAAGAAATTCTATGCTGCTATAATTACAATTCGATTTGAAATTAAAAATTATCAAATTCCAATGAGATACTAAATTTCATTCAAAATTTACTCAAAAGCATATAAGAAACTATTCACACTAGATGGACAAGCGAAAGTAGCAATTCGAGCAAGGTTTACAACCAGTTGAGATAAATTTTTTAAAAAATCAGCTTATTTATTTTTATAAATAAAATTTAAGTAAATAAAGTATTATGTAACAAACTGATAAAAATAAAAAATAATTTTTAATTAAAAATCTAAAATTACTAATAAATTATTATTTAAATAAATTCATCTATAAAATGAAAATATAAATATAATTTGTATTTATATATATGTATATATAAATATATATATATACATGCGAATCTTTTTCTTCTTTTTTTTTATGCAAAAAAGTACACTTATAATACTTTATTTATTATTGCAGTATCACATTTGAATTGATATATAAACAAATATTTTTATAAATATAACTTAATAACTTAACTATCTAATTAAACATATCCAATTAAAATCATTTTATTTAAATATAAGTAAAAGTTAGATAAATATGTTTATATATTTTAGATTATAGTATTTACGACGTTAATATACTTATGAAAATAGTAGTTAATTACATGTTGTAATAAACCTTGCGAAATACAACATTTAAAAAAAAGATTGTAACGCTGTTGTCTTACTCATTAGTGAAATTTGTAACATATCTCAGCATAAATGTTACACCGTGCAATACACATGTATATATATATATATATATATATATATGATTTGGGGAGCGCGAGCATTGCGTGTCCCTAGCAGCCCAAATTAAAATGGGTAAATCATTGTAGGTCACTATACATTAATCGCATAGCACACAATTCAAATTAGTGTTCTTTCATTTTCTGAATAAATAAATATTGCGTATTATGATACACGTTCAAAATTTAGAAATAAGAAAATCAAAATTTTATACAAATGTTTTTTAAATTTACAAAAAATTTTTCTATTTTTTATTATACCTATATGCATAATTACATGAAATAATATTTTTTAAATCAATAACGTTTAAAATAAGAATATTTTGTATAGCTATAACTTCGATGAAAAATAAATATTTTAGCATTTTATCGGAAATGATAATAACTTTACTATTAATTTTAAAAATTAAAATTAATTAATTTGTAAATAAAATGGTAAAAACTAATTATAATACCATAAGATATAAGCAATAAAGAAAAACAGATGTTTATTTTGAAAGTTTTCTCTGGCATTGGCATAAAAGTATCAAAATCTTTATTATATAATAACATCACTATTTGTAAATTTTTAATTTCTTATATTTTATAAGATTTTTTCAAAGTCACGTACTGCACAAGTAACAACCAATCATTTAGTTTATTGTTAAATGTATATAATATGATTATGAAAATATAATATATATTTACATTCATTTTTTTATGGATGCAAAATAATAGTTTTAAAAATAGGCTAAGTTTTTGTGTTACAATAGGTAAAGGTTCTACTTTTTTTTAAGTTAATTTTGTCTCGTAATTCCTCGTTTAGAATCTGTCTTACTCAAATATTTTTTTTCTAAAAAGCTACGTATACACGTTTTTTTTTCCTTTTTGTCTTATTTTTCGTATTCTTCTTAGTTATCGCTATAATGTACTTCTTCGATTTTTCGCAAGTGGCGCTAGCCTACTATTAATTATAGTTATGATCACTCTTGACTAGCTTCGCTAATAAACATAACCAATTATTATATTTTAATCTATATTTTACATTATCGCTGGTGGAGCAGAAGAATTTTTTACAGATATTTTTCTCCCGCGTAATTAAGATGAGTTTCTTAAAAAAATCCAACACGTTTAATCATAACAAAATGTGAAAAGTCTTTCCACAAATAATTCTGCCGTAAAATTTTAAAATGATGTATAAACATCTTTGAAATATAAATAATAACAATTTTAATGAATAAAAAACCAAACAATTTTCATTTGTAGAGATTGATATTTAAATTCAATTAAAATAACATAGTGTAATAAACAAAATGTCTCAAGATATAAGATCTTATTTTCTTAATTCTAAGCAAAGTTTAGAAAAAAAAATCACAAAAAATGAACGGTGTGAAGAGAATGTTATTTCCGACTATGAAGAGATACATAATAATCTTATTAAAAATAAAATTAAAGAAAAGAAACATGATATTAAATCACATTTTAAAAAACGTACAATATCTTCGGATGAAGATGAGACTGATGTTTTTAATAAGAAAAAGAAAAAAGTTCAAACTGAGAGTTTGTGCTCGAAAAATTTAGAAGAATTTTTAGATACAAGTGACATATCTGAAGAATTTCTTAATAAGCAACCTGTGAAAAGATTAAACGCAGTTAAAATTAATAAATATCGTAAGAAAGTAAATAAAATGCCTACATTAAAATGTCGAGCTGATTTTATTAGCAAATATGATGATTTTGATGCTACTTTGAACCAATTAGACACGTCACAAATTGAAGATGAATATTTGTCTACTATTAAAAGTGAATCATGTTTAAAATTTGGAAAAAAAAATTGTGAATGTTTAAACTGTAAGAATGGTTCTTGTAGTAATTATCAAATCAATGAAAACAATAAAGAAAAAAAGATATTAAATTTTAACGAACAGAACAATTTATATCATTTAAAACATGATAAATATTTTGATTTAAAAGATAATACATTAAAAGAGAACGAAATAAAAAATATTTTAAATACAACATTAGTAGATGAAAAAGAAACTAAATCAAATATATCACCCAAGAAAATATCAGATATTTATTATAATGATATTGTTAAAAAAAAGGTTGAACAGAAAATACATAATTCCATTTTGTATCGTAATTATCTTAATCGAGGTGGAGCTAAAAATCCAGGTTCAAAGGAAATACCACAAGGAGCTGATCAATGCCTTGTTAATCTTAATTTTTTGATTACAGGAGTTTTAGAGTCATTGGAACGTAATGAAGCAGAAAAAATTATAAAGCAGTATGGTGGCAAGATTTTACATTCGGTATCAAAGAAACTTAATTATATCATCATAGGAGATGAACCTGGACCTTCTAAATTAGCAAAGGCAGAAAGTCTTGGAATTAAAAAAATAACTGAAGATGATTTATTAGATTTAATACGTACAAGACCATTAGGTTTAGAAACCATACAATTGTCTATCAATTCTGTTGATAAAACAAAGGATAAAAAATTATGCTCTTCAAATTGTAGTGAAAATGAAAATAATACAGACATAAAAAATAAAAAAAATTTGTCTCTAAAAAATACTATTGGAAATGTTAAAACATTAGAAGTAAATGTAGATTGTTTAATATCAAATTGTATTCTTGAAAGGTCTGAAAAACCTATAAAAACTAAAAATTTGTCTCCCAAAGATGAATCCAATACAATTGCTATATCCACAAAATGTTTTGAAGTTGAAACTGAAGTAAAGAAGGAAGAATTATTGAGACAATATAGAATAAATAAAAGTAATAAAATGGAAATAGAAAATAAAAATGTAATTGATTTACCTCTAATCAGTCAGAAATTTATAAACACACAAGAATCTAATCTTAATTATATAACAGCATTAGTGGAAAAATATAGACCTAAAGAATTAAAACAAATAATTGGTCAAAATAGTGAAAAAAGTAATGCAAAAAAATTACTATATTGGCTTACAAACTGGAATAAAAACTATGTTAAAAATTCTAAAACTTCTAAACTTAAATATTCATCACAAGATGACATGGGAAAAATTTATAAAGCAGTTCTTTTATCAGGACCACCTGGTATTGGTAAAACAACTACTGCATATGTTGTTTGTGCTCAGCTTGGTTATGAAATATTAGAATTTAATGCTTCAAATACAAGAAGTAAAAAACTTTTACAAGAAGAAATTTCTGCTATTTTATTCAATAAAACTATAAAAACCTATTTTAAAAATACTTCAAAAAAAAATGAAATAATTCCGAAACATGTATTGCTTATGGATGAAGTAGATGGAATGGCAGGAAATGAAGATTATGGGGGAATACAAGAGCTAATAGCTTTAATAAAATCTACAGAAGTTCCTATCATTTGTATATGCAATGAACGAAATAATCAGAAAATGAAAACATTAGCTAATTATACATTTGATTTACGTTTTCAAAAACCAAGATTAGAACAAATTCGAGCTGCAATGATGTCACTTTGTTTCAAAGAAAGTATTAAAGTTAAGCCAGAAGAATTGACTCTCATAATTCAATCAACGAATCAAGATATACGTCAAGTTATTAATCATATAGCGATATTATCAGTAAATACTCAAATAGTAAATGAAAATACAGAAAAAACTAAATATAAAAATTTGAAACTGGGTCCATGGGATATAGTTCGTAAAACATTTAGTTCAGAAGAACATAAAATAATGAGCATTCATGATAAAAGTGATCTATTTTTCCATGATTATAATATTGCAGCACTTTTTGTCGAAGAAAATTATTTAATTGTAACACCAAATGGCTCTAAAAAACAACTACATGAAAAATTAGCAAATTGTACTGAAAGTTTAGCAATTGGAGATACAATTGAAAATAATATTAAAGTTAATCAAACTTGGAATTTACTGCCAGTTCAAGCTTGCTTTTCTTCAGTTATACCAGGATCAATAATGTCAGGGTTTTTTAATAGACAAATAAATTTTCCTAGTTGGTTTGGAAAAAATTCTAAACGAGTAAAATATGATAGACTATTACAAGATATTACAATTCGTACTCGTAAAATTACAGGAGCAAGTAAAGAAGCAATCAATCTTGATTATTTGAAAATGTTAGTTGATTCCATTATTAGACCTATGATTATTGAAGGAATAGAAGGTGTTTATCAAGCCGTCAATATTATGAATAAATATAATTTAACAAAAGAAAATTTAGATTCACTAATAGAGCTTACTAAATGGCCACATACAAAGGATCCAATGCAGTATATCGACAGTAAAACAAAATCTGCATTTACAAAAATGTATAATAAAAGCACTTTATTTTATAGTTCACATAAAATAAAAAAAAAAAGTGTTCCTGATGATTTAACTGAAGACTATTTTAAAAGTGATGAAGAAGTTTCAGATGATACTGATGATAAAATTGAAAATGATAAACTTGTTAAAACCAAAATAACGAAGACTAAGAATATTAAATCTAATCGTAAAACCAAAACTAAAAATACTAAAAAATATTAAAATTCACTTTACAAAAAAATAACTTTACAATACTTGTTACATAAAGAAAAACTTATGTCAAATACCTAATATACATAAAAAATCAAGCCATAAATAAAATTAAAATTGTATATTATAACTTCATGTATAATTAATTACTTTAATATCCAAACAAGTAAAATAAATGAATTTATTGATTATAATTTATAAATATTTTTATTTCCTTCTAAATTTATAAAAGTAAAAAAATATTTACAGTTCGAAATAAAATATATCAATGATTATAAATTTTGAATAACAATGAAGTTGTAAAATATGAGATTAATAGATAGTAATTTTATTTAAACATTTAAAATGAGTAAACTATTAAATTTAAATAAAACAATTCAATTGAAATAATAATTTACGAAATATTAACAAATTATTCATCATAAAAATAATTATTTAATAATAGATGTTAGTTCATCAGTACATTGAAAATACTAAGATATTTATATTTAACTTCAATATTTTTTATTGTAAATTGAATATACCGTTAGACAATGTTCAAAAGTTTACTGGTAGAAAAAAAGTGGGGATAAGTGGAAGGAATAACACTTCAATTCAGTATTAATCACATTTGTTTTTCGAGCTTGTTTATTACGTTTTATTTACAACTACACTATAATGATTCAATTGTGACTATGAAAATCGCTGAAAGTTGCTGATTTCTCCCTGCTACCACTTCGTGCACTCGGGCACCATTTGTGGGGGTCAGAGTCAGTTCTTAGGTGTGAAAGTGAAATACCGATCTCTCCCTGCTACCACTTCGTGCACTCGGGGACTATACGTGGGGGTCAGAGCCAGTCCTTAGTTGTGAAGGTTGCTAACATCTCACTTGAATATTTTCCTAACTTAATTATATGTTATCATTACGCCGTTGTTTAATTCTTATAACACCTTTTCACTGCCAGTTATCTAGTTGAATACGCACACGAAATTGAACGTGTGTTTCTTCCGTGGCGGCCCTGCTAAAACACAACACGTGCCTTCCATAGTGTCCTCATTGGGACAGTGAGCTCTTGCTCGAAGGTGCTTCTCTTAAATATCCACGCGACAGCCTATTTAGTGCTAGAAGCAATGGATGCAATTGTAGTGCTCAGAACAAGTGCTAGGTGAACAGGTGCTAGAAAGAGACTGCGGAAAAAAATACTTGGGGTTTCCGAGAAACTAGGACGTTAGGGGGTTTCCTGAAATTCTAACTGTTAGGGTTTTTCCAAAAATGATAACGCTTGGGAAATTCCCCAAACCTAAACACTCGAGAAATTCACGGAATCTCGAACATCTACCAAAACTATTTTTATTTTGAATATTCAAAATATTAGTCAAATAATGCCATGTATTATATACTTTCAATGATTCATACGATGATTCTATCAAATACAATACAAATTTAATTTTCAAGTTAAAATCATAAATTATTTTCTAAAAAATTTGCATCAAGTATGACATTAATATTTTAACGTTCGATAATCAACGTTTAATACAGATCAGAGTGATAAGCTAGTTAAGGGTGGTTATAACAATTATTAACATTACGCTATCACCCTTTGCGAAAAATTCAAAGTATATTATGGCGTTAACTAAGAAGAATATGAAAAATAAAATAAAAAGTAAATAGCGTATATAAGTAGCTGTTTGAAATTGCACTGATCTAGTTCAAAGGATCAAATGTTTGAAAATGTAATTAATTTTCTGGCTCGAACTGCCAAGTTCGATTGTTCAGTTTATTATCGCCCATCTTAGCAATGCATAGGAAATAACTTAATTGGAACGACTGTAAATATACACAGTGTGTGCAAACTTCGTTAAAACATGGTGTATTTTGATTTTATTGACAATTACACTATTTTTGTTCTGAATTTACTTCTCGTGGGAAAATGTGCTTTATGTTCTATCACAACGATATAGTTGATCCTTTGGTGATGGTGACAATGTTATTGCTGATGTAAAGATCAGCAATGGATTGTGTATACTCCTTGAAAGGGAATATAGCTTTGTTTTGTGATGTATACTAACGTTGTCAAGGCTAGTAGAGAGAGCCGACCATACTCATAAAGGGAGTATGGAATTAATTGAGTGGTAGTTATCCTCAATGGTACATCTTCGTGTGAAGGAGGGTCCGATACCATGCTTCTTGTGGTCGACTATTTCCTTGTACTGCAGTCAACGCCCTTAACTGGTTGTTAACCTTTGCGCACTGGAGAATTGAACGTGTGTGTGTTCCTTGTAATGGCTGCACTGAGAGAGCGCAATCTCGTGACGAGCTCTTGGATATAGACTCCGGCTTAATAGCGTGGTTGAAACGTAGATGACTGACTAGGACGAGTAATTGACTCGAAGGAATTGGAGTCTTGATGCGCGCTTCCTTAAGTATGCACGCGGCAGCTAAACTAGCTGTCAACAATGCTTAGGTGTTGTTATGCGGAGACTAGACAGAGTTGCACAACATTCGAGAATCTAAGCTTTAGATAATTCGAGAATTCTGCAAAAGGAAAGCTTTGGAAAATTCGAGAATTCATTCGACGTTACTATGCAAAGGCTAACCAGTCTTGTAGAACGTTCGAGAATCCAAGTTTTAGGCGATTCGAGAATTTTGCGTGTTAAATATTCGAGGACTAGAAGGCTTATAAAATTTCCGAAAACCGAAGGTCTCGAAAAAATGCTCTAATTTCGAACAGTAGCTTTCTAGAAAAAATATAACTGAGTAAGACTGATTCTAATCTAGAATTACGAGACAAAAATAAATTAAAAAAAAAGTAAAACCTCTTCCTATTCTACAAAAACACACAAAAACTTGGCCAATTTTTTAAAACTATTATTTTGTATAAAGAAAAAATTAATGTAAATATATATTATATTTTCATAATCATATTATAAAAAGTTAACAATAATTTATTATATCGCGATTAGAAAAGGTAACATCGACGTAACAGAACTACGTAAAACAAAACTTTTTGATAATTTTATTAATATAATGTTATTTTGAAAAAATTGTTTTAGAATAAATAAAAAAATTTTCGTTAAAATATATACATGTTGTATTCAAAAGTAAAAATATATATGCGAATTAAAATATTTTAAGGTTACATTACGCCTGTAAAATTTTATTATAATTTTATTGATTATTAATATAAAAAACTATGCTTAAAATAAATTTTATCAGACAAAAATCAATTCTTTATTATTTAGATACAATATTAATTTAAGTGAATTATTTTACATTTGCTATTATATTATCTGTACATAGAATACAAATATAATAAAGGTGTATATATTTTACATACTCTATACAAATTAAAATTTTTTTATTTAAATTTACTAATTTAAATAAATTTTTAACTTATGAGGAATTGAAATATTTTCAATTTTGTAATAAAACTATTAAAGATATTAAATTAGTTATTTTTAGTTTATATTTTTTATATACACAATAAACTGTAATTTTTCCATATAATTTATAATAAAAATACAAAAAAAAATTTATTTTGGTCTCAATTAACAGAAAGATTATATCTTATAGTCTCTGAATATTTTATGTAATATATAGCTATTAGAAATAATGATTAAAAAAATTGATAAATTAATTTTTAAAAAATTAATAGCGTATTGAATATGTATTAACATATCGAACTTTTATCGTTAATTATTATAGACATTTATTTTTATTTTTGGTAATATTTAATGTAGATCATAAAAATATAATGAAACATTGTTATGTTTGTTTTGTAATTATTAAAAATGTTTAAGTATATTGAACAATAAAATTATTCATATAAGTATATTTTTTTTATTTTTCAAATTATGTATACTTGTTGATTTTTGCAATTATTTCTCATAGATATTCTATTACAATAATTTATATAATATTTAAAAGAAAAAAATGTATTAATGTAGTTAACATATGCTATTTTTAAAAATTAAGTTATTTGCTATTTCTTATTAATTTTTTTATCTATGTTAGTTTTTATTTCTACCTTTGAACGTTCATTACATGTTGCGTCGAGTGGAGGCGCTGTTTGCTTACAAGCCAAATGATCTGACGCTTTCAGTGTGTATACTAGGATAATTTAATGTGTATAATCTAATTTTTATTGATGGCTTATTAAAAATCTATAACAATTGTGGCATTATATTTTACAACAAATTGTACATTTGAAAGTATTTGCTAAATTCATTCAAGATGGCGATGGCTATGTTACAGCGACGTGCTAATGTAATATTTACATATTAATTGCATTTTTTAAATAAAAATATGCATATAACCTTCAAATTTAATAATGCAATTAAATTTTTTTTTATGAATTTCTAAAATAAGTTATAATATTAGTCTGTTATTCTTAAATAATAATTTGACTATTTTTCATATCCTTTTATGTTGTGCCAGGCCATTACACCTTTTCTTACCTTCATTATATCTTTGTTATTAAATGCATTAAAAATATTTTATAAAATAAAATAATTTTAGGTAAGATTACCACCAGAAGTTAATAGAGTTTTATATATTAGAAATCTTCCATATAAAATTACAGCTGAAGAAATGTATGATATTTTTGGTAAATATGGAGCTATAAGACAAATAAGAGTGTAAGTTACATATATATTTATATCTGTGTATAAATAAAATAAAAATATATATCTTTTTTAGAGGCAATACAGCTGAAACTAGAGGAACAGCTTTTGTTGTCTATGAAGATATTTTTGATGCAAAAAATGCATGTGATCATCTCAGTGGTTTTAATGTGTGTAATAGGTACTTAGTTGTATTATATTATCAAAGTAATAAGGCCTTTAAACATGTAGATATTGAAAAAAAAATGGAAGAAATAGATAAAATCAAAACAAAATATAATCTCGATGATAAAAAATAATGTACTGTTAAGCTTTTAAATAGACGTAATTATAAATAAAATTAGTTTTTAAATTTTTATATTGAAAATTTTATTTGTCATTGAAGTTTGCAGAATATTAAATAAATAAAATAAGTCGAATTATATAATAATAGATACTTCAATATGAATGCTTGTAGTTAACTACACATAAAACATAGTTATGTGCTATTTTTAATAGTTATGCATATTTTAATATTCACCTTATTGGAAATATATACAGATATATGTACAAATAAAAGTATACAAATATGTACAGATAAAAGTATGAAGAGTTATACAAAATACTTTGAAATTCTTAAAAATTGTAAATTGGCATTTAAGTAAGCAAGAAGTTCACTATTAAATGTTATTTAAAATTGTTTTTAATATTCAACTAGATGGTGCAATCATTTGTTTAATATTGCCTGTATTTTTAGGCATCTAACCATTCATTTATTAAATAGCAGGAAATATAAATGATTAGATTTATTATTATATAGTAATTTGTCCATTCTCTATTAGAATTAATATTAACAATGATGATCATGTTTTAGTAGATTGGGATATAACAATGAATCTATACAAGAAAGGGAAGAATGTTATAAATCATTACTTTGAGACTATCTTTTATTTTTCAGACTGTTATTAATTAATAAAATATTACGTGAAGAATATTAACCATATTTCATGTAAAATAAAATATGATAAATTTCAGAGGAAATGATATTTAATTTTACTATATCAAAAATTAAATCTAGTCTTGGATGTTATATAATATATACTGATTTAACAGGAATTGGTACATATACATTTCTTTATTAACTTTATGTAATATTGAATATCTACTTTGGTTAAAACAGTAACAAATATTTATAAGAAATAGAAGCTACTTTTTTTTAAATATCAATCTAAAAATTATTAAAATCTTTAAAATAAATAGTTTGAAATCATATAGTTAACTTTTATATAAATAAATGATTTTTACATAATACTTTAGCTTATATATTTAAATAATATAGTAAGTTTCAATGGTTCATAATATATTATAATTCCGAATGTATCTGTTTCTTTTTTATATTTTATTTTAAATAATTATACATTATAATTTATTTATAAAAACTTATTTTAAAATCACATTATTTATGAAAATATAATAAAGACATTCTTAATACTATTTTCTAATTAATTAAGTACATTAATAATATTATTAATCAGTCTGTTGTTAAACTATATTGATATTTAGATTCTATTTTACTATAATTTCTCATTTTAACAAATAGAATATATAAATATTAAACAAATATTCTTTGTATATTTCATTTAATCTTAAAATTATAATTTATGTTCTTTAAAAAATTATATTTTGTTTAAAAGGAAACAATATTTCTGTATATGTATTATATGTCTATATGTGTAAAGTTTTAGATGTAATTTATTATTACAAAAAGTTTACAAATAAAATTTAAAGTATTTTATTTGAAGATAGTTATTCTGAAATTTTTTATGTAATTTAATTTAATAAGAATCCATTTATATACTGTGTATTTCAATATAATTAATGTTATATATTTATGTATCTGATAGGATTTTCAAAAATTTATTTTTATAAGCTGCATTTCCTTCTATAATTATAAAATTTCAATTTAGGGAATTTTCACTAACTATATATAGTTTATAATTAATTTATATTATTTGCTTATAATGTAATATGTAAAAATATATGATTTTTTTAATAAAATATTGTTTAATGTATTATATTATATATTAAAACTTAAAATAAAATTTGTATAAAATATTTATTAACGTTATTCAGTAAAATAAGTAACATTTGTATTTAATACTATATCAATTTGGTAATTAGTATAAATTATTACATATTTACCAAAATATGTATCTTCAAAACTAATATTAAATATTATTTATATTATATTTATAATATTACTATTAATACTCATTATTGTTTAATCATGAAGAATTAAAAAGAATAAATAGTAAATAAACATTTAATGATTGATTAAAAAATAACATGTTGAATAATATTAAACAATCAAAAATACTTTACTAGGGAAATTTGAGTATAAAATATAAGTTTAATATTTTTTTTAAGTTAAAAAGAAAAAATTAGTTCATTTTTATAATCTCCACTTTTGAAGGAACTCATTCTATTTCGAATAAAATGTGTAAGAAGAAATTTTTTATTGTATTAAAATTCTGTTATAATATGTACATATAATTTTTTTTCTTAAAATTGTATGAAATATATGAAAAAAATGTCTCATTGACATTGATTCTACACATTTATATTGAAAAAAAAATTATGAAAAATAATGTTTTATTATTGTATTAAATTTAATTGTTGACTATAAATTTTACAATTATTATACAATAATAATACAATAAAATAATTATATAATACAATAGTGCAAACACTATTTCTAAGGTATTGATGCTTGTACGTCAATGAAAGCATAGTCGTCAGTCTACAATGCACAGGTTCTATGGGTTAGTCACTTTATTGTACAGAAGCTTAGAAATATTTATGGTAATGTGCTTTCTTATCTTGCAAAAATTTTTTCAAAAGAACTTTATCAACCAATCTATAAATCGAAAAAGAAGAGTTTTGCTATTGTACTTATTATGTTTATAATTTTTTATGCTAATATTTTAGAGGTTAGGCAACATTTTTAATTACAATAAAGTATGATATGCAGTCAATTTATGTGTTCGACATGTGGTTAAGAGTATGAATTGTTCGATGAATGGTTTTATAAATTGTTTCTTTATTTTGAATTATGATAAGAGAAAAAAAATGAACTTAAGGAAAATATTTGAAAAAATTCAACATAAGCCTATTAATATCAAATTTAATAAAGAATTAATTATGATAGCGGACATTCAATATATAAGTTGATAAGTTCCATAAAAAAATTAATCGAATAATTAATTATTTTCAAAATTACTATTTTGTGTTATAACAACACATTTTCTATGTACTCCTTGCCACTTTGGTTAAATTAATAAAAAAATTCTAATAGTATAAATGACTATGATTTAAAAATGGAAAAAAAAATTTTTCTACATTGTTTTCTCTATTTATGTATATTCAATAGTATAAAACGAGTTTTTAATGTAATATATTAATAGCTTGAAAAACATAAGTTATTGTCTTTTAAAAGATAAATAATCAATATGCAATAAATAATAATCGTACATGTTGGAGATAGAAAATTAAGTTGTTTGCTGCAATTATTTTAATCATAACTGGTTCCAGCTCCTATGACATTGTATTCAATTTGTGTATATATTTTTATTAATATATAAGTATAATACCATCCAAGCCACTTATTGAAAAATATAATATACAACAGTACATTTCCGAAGAGGTGAATGTTATTTGAGTTTCTTTTATGCAAAAGAGATTCATTGTTAAACAAGGGCATGTATTTTAATATATAAATACTTATGTATGTAAGTAAACATATGTAAGTATCATATATTACATAGATAAATTTTATTTGCCTTCATTTTTAATAAAAATCCTATTTATAAACAGTATTCAATTATTAATAATCACAAAGTAAAAATAATTTATATAATCCATTTTCTTTCAATAATTATAATTATAAAAAGAAAATTATTTGATATTGTGATTATACACACTTAACTATTATAAAGTACTTAAATAATATCAATATTATTATTTATACATTTATATTTTAATATATGACATATCTATTATTTGAAACATTTATCATATTATTATGTAAAATAACTTACATTTTGTTTGTAATATATTTAAAAAATTATAAACAGGAAATGATTCTCTAAAAATAACGGAAACAACCTTACTATCAATGATGTCAAATATTTAAGTAATTCGAATAAATTCAACTTTCACGAAGGATTTATCAATAAGCAATGAATTGACGTCTTTTACATAAGAAAAATATAAAAATACATAATTGCAGAGTTTTTCCAGTTACAATTTATTACGAACTGGCATTGAGTCGAAACTCAATCAGGTATCTATGTGTCTTTGCTAAGTAATATACAATGTCTTTCAGTTGATTAATAACTTTTTAATCAAATTACTAATTCAGGTACCCTTATGTGACTCGGTCATTCTATAAATTTCATGATGACAACTTACGTTTCAAGGTGTTAAAACAATAAATTTGTAGAAACTATATGTTCGATATTTTAAAACAATAGCAGTCTGTTTTATCATTTATCGAAAAAAATAGGATTTTAATTCGAGTTTTATCTTTATTATAATATTATATTTTAAAAAGTAAAAACTTTCTGTTTAATATTAAATTTTACACTTATAATATTATTAATTTCCATAATAGAAGCAAAATAGAATAATTTTTATATTTAAAATGTATATCTTTAATATATAAAGAATTGTTAGCGCTATAGCAGGTCCTATTTTAATCAGTTACACGTTAAAAAATATTATATACATTGTGTAAAATAATTTACAGTAATAATATAAAAATATAAAATACAGGAAAATGAAATTTTTAGTAAATATTGTATTTAAAATATTTTTATGAATTAGTAAATCAGAGTATATATGTTATATCTATTGTTTCTTATAGTTTAAATAATCTATGAGTACATAATATTTCAATTTAGTTTTTCATAATATCTCTACCAATAATGAAAAAATAGTTAAAATAATTTTTCTATTGTAACATATTTTCAAATATAAATGTGGGATTGATATTTTTATTATATATTTTTATTAAAAAATATTAGATTGAATTTATTTATTAATATTATTGTATTGTACAATATAATTAATTTATTTATTATTATATTATAATTATATAATAAATAAATTAATTATATCCTGTATAAAATCATATATAAATTGTATTTATTATAAAATATAATTATGTAAATACTGAAATGGATATGATTATTTTAATGTATAAAATTTTAAAAACTTTCAAACAATGCTTATTAATAATTACAATACAATTGGATACAGA